TAATTTTCCAATGAAGGAAAATTATAGCTGAGAATGAAAAATCGTATTTCGCGAAAAAACAACATAGCAGGATTACTTTTTTTATATTGATTTTTGTTCAAAAATTAAAAAAGAAATTCACATACTTTTATTTCAGAAATGTTATCAATATGTTATCACAGTATATCAAAATCTCAACAAATTGGATGCAAATTCTATATCACTTCATCCACCTAACTATACCTTGACTACTATGTGCCGCACAGGTTTTCAAAAAGTATGGTGTTTAGACCCTTCCTTTAAAGACACGGTCCATTATATCTGGAAGGAAAACGTGCGACTCACAATTTTTTTTAATCGTTGATCTCTTAAGAGCATTCCTTTTTTTTGGGGGGGGGAGGGGATCCCCGCGTGGAAGAAGGCCTCAGCTAGCTCTCCCTCCCTCCTCCCCCATCTCTCCCTCTCTCTCTTTCTCACACACACACTCTTACTATTTCCTCTTTCTCAGCTCCCCCTCTCTTCTTTCTTTAGCTTCTAGCCCTTCTGTTTCTGTATACTGTTAAAAATATATCTTCCCGTCCACCTAACTCCCTCAAATCTCCCTTATTATTCCCCTCTCTCTCCATAATACTTTCTTCCCAATGATACCCCTCCTTCCCCCTCCATTTTCCCCTATTTCCCTTTCCCCTTTCTCTTTATTACCCCGCGTACTATACCCTTTTGCTTAAACTCTTATGAAATTAGGTGCCTGCACACACTTTCTCTGTCTCCTCCTTCTTTCTTTCCCTTCCCCTCCTCTTTCCTGTTCTTTCACTTGTTTCCTTCTTCATCCTTGTCTATCCTATTCTTTTCCCTTTTGCCTCTCTGTCCTTGAATTAAACTCGATATTTCCCCCTTTTTTTCATTCTTGAATACAGTTTGATTTTGCCTAAAAGGGGAACTAGAGCTTCACAAGTTCTGTTTCTTTTATAGGTTCCTCCGCTTTTTCTCAAATAAAGATGAAAATACTGTATTTTCTACAACTCTTTGATAATGATGCAATATATATGTTCACTAAATAAATATGTACATCATTTGGTAATTGCAACGTTATTATTGTACCGATTTTGATCAAGCACTGTTTTGTTTTGTTTCATGTTTTATTATGTATGTAATCTGAGAAAGTGGAAATATATTTGAATATTGAACTATTGCACCCCACTAGCCACCTCTACCTGTCTTTACACTTTGTCGTTTAATATTTCTGACCCTTCAGATATCGTTTGACAACCGAATAACTAGCGAAGCAGCAATACACTTTTAATTCATGACGGGGGTAGGGAGTGAGGGCTTATGTCAAATGGCTTAATTGGAAGTGGTTCGTCTCCAATTGCTATCTGGAGTACTGCCAACATTATGAATATTCTATCAGTGATTTTTTACAGAATTATTGTAAGATAAAACGTTCCCCCGCCAGCAATTTTAGATTAATCGGGGGATCCAACCCCAACCCTCATCGCCAACGGCAATGTATGTCCTAAAGTCCAAGTAGACGAGAAAGTTTAATTTCAGTCCGGCAAAGCAGAAATCAGCAAATAATCTAAATTAGAATTAGGCATCGCAATTACGTTTATTGTGAAAGTAGCATTATTTTCATAGGTAATCAACGTTGATTCCGTCATGTCGTGATAAAATCAAAATGGCAATTCGAGCCCCTGAGCGAAAAAAAAAGGAGACAAACAAAAAGGAGGGGGAGGGGTAGAAGAATAAGAAGGAAAACAAACAAAAAATGAAAAAAGAAGTAAAGAAGGAGAAGTAGAAGGAATAGTACTTAGTTTGAAACATTATACCTGTAATATCGCCATCCCAATATTCATGAATCTGACTCTATAAGAAGAGTAACGGTGGTCAGTAATGGTTTAAGGCATAAAGCAACAAACAAATTGGGATAAAACTGGAAATATTCCTGGAAAAGGACAGGTTTTGCACACGCACACCTACACACACGCGCAAACAAAAAAACACACACACACATACAAACGTTGCTTTGACAATTGCTCCCGACTTTTTTGCGTCAAAGTTGTAGGGTTAGGGGTTTTAAGGTTACAATCAGGCTTTAGGTTAGGTTAGGAGTTTTGATATAGGGTAAGGTATAACGTTGGGTTTAGGGTTAAAGGAATAGTTGAGTTCTTGTTTCAGACCGTAAATGCCTTCAAAGTGCATGATTATTGCTCTTATTCTTATTTATGACATTTCTAGTGTGTCCTTTTAAGACCTAAAGTTGCTATGAAGGTAATTTTCGACACCAACATGTGTGAAATTTAGACAATACAATCATACTACTTTAGCTCCACTTTAACAAAAATACGGTGACCGTTAATGAATCAATTAATTAATAATTAAAAAAAACACGGGCCTGCCGGTTGAGAGTGCCAAAACGAAAAAGCCAACAAAAAGCCAACGTCGGCATTGGCTGGAATAAAACGATTTTTCAACAGCTGGTTCAAATTATCGAACAAATATTAGAAATTGTGATATTTATGGATATTTCAGCCGTCTCTAACCGATTTTGATTAAACAAAAATGATTTTGTCATTTAAATTGTATGTTCTTTCAAATTTGACACTCAGTTTTTCAAAATCTCACCAACAAATTGTTTAATGTAGCGCCCTCTGCAACAAAGCTCAATTATTCTTAACAATATTGGTCAGTGTTGGCAATTATCACGGAGCAAAATCTGTATTCTGACGAGCAAGCTGAAAAGGGAATCCGTTTCGGTTGGTGCTTTTGTAGGTTATCAAGTCATTGAATACAATAATAACATTCTTTACGAAAGAAAGAGAATCTATAAAGCTTTTGTGAATTGTGAAAAGTCACTTACCATGGAAAAGTATGAGGATAGCTAACATATAAAGGACACACAAATCCCGAGTAAATTATTGATAAGAGAAGTGGGGTTTTTGTCCACAAGCTATTAGACGGATGTCACAACTGGGCAAACTCAGTTGACTATAATCGGTGTCTATTTAAGACTCTCTGATCATCTCACAGGAGGATTTACACAATAAACAATGAATTCAAATTGTGTAAAGTGTATCAAAGAAAATCATCTCCTTATCTGTATTCCTTTATTTCTTATAACAATAGAAATACATGTTTATCGTGTTAAAATCTGGAGATATAAACTAAATAACCCACTTCAGTGATGCAATCACCTACAAGATGTGAGATTAAAACGGTTGTTCATCTAGAATGAAGAAATCATAGCTGTAACTTTTGCTGAAACTCCAGTTGTTCTTTGCTAAAGCCCGACTGCAATGACCACCATAACGAAGGTGTTGCTTCGTGTTGCTTCATCTAGTACCACCTTCAACTCTTTTTAGTAGCTACTGGTATAGGGATCCACCCATTGTAGCATGAAACTTGGACAGCTAGAGGACCATCTAAAATTAAACGTTAACCCAAGCTATAAATATTCTATGGAATGATACCAATATATTCATTATCTACTTATATCTTATGGCAAGAACTATAATAATCATCAGTCAATACAATAAAATACATAACAGAAAGAAAGGCTTCTGTCATAATGAATTACATATATTGCATACAAATATCCTTTCAAAATTTGAAAGAGCCTGAATTACAGAGTTCATATCCTGAGAACATGTACTTTCATTTATCTTCATAATTGAACAAAATAATGTATAAAGAGTGACATTAATTTACTTTAGAGAAATGATTTGCAGTCTTCATTCTATATCTCTAAGGCCAAAAAAAATAGATGTTGTATTGTCCTTTAATACCGACCGACCCAAAAGTCTTCGAAATCTACGGTCGGCTTTTAAAACAAGTTTTTTTTTATTATCGTTTTTAAGATTTTTTTTTTAAAGTATTAAAAACTGAGAGTATCAGCCCAAAGAGGGAGTAAAAAAAAGTTTTAAAAAAAAAGATTTCCGACCGACCGACCGATTTTTGTTGGCACCATAAGGGCAATACAACATCTTTTTTAAGGCCTAATACAAAGGTTCACTTGTGACCTTGCCTCTTTCAATGACAAATGAACACGTCTAATTTATCATAAGGAAGAAGGAATACAAATATGGATTCAACTCACAATTTGACTTGGTTGACTAAATGCAGGGAATCGGGGCAGGCCACAATGTCGGTTCTGGTGATCTTGACACTCCATGGACTTGGACTTGCAACGCAAAATGATTCGCCGCTAAATATTTCTCACAAACTGGGCCCCCTATTTGGCCCCTTTGCCTTGGCGCCGGCTGGATCTGCCCCTGAGCCTAACTACCCAATGCATTCAACCCAATTCTTTAATCTACATATGCCTAACAATAAGAGTTTAGCATTGCGGGGGAACAGAAAAGGGAATCCGTGTCGGATGGTGATTTTGAAGGTTATCGAGTCATTGATTACAATAATACGAATCTTCATGCAAGAAAAGAGAAATTATAAAGCTTTTTCACCTTTTGTATAATTGTGAAAAAATTACTTACCATGGAAAAGTATGGGCATAGCTAACACAATGGCCCGAATTCACAAAGCAAGGTTTGAGCTCAGACCAAGGTTTGAGCACAAACCTCCTTTTGTTTCGCCAAACCCCCTTTTGGTCTTTACAAACCAGGTTTGTAAAAAACGCGTAAAACGCGTCATATGACGTACGAAAACCAAGGTTTGTCGACAAACCTCCTTTGTGAATTCGGGCCAACGTGTATTAAGCGAACTTATAAAGGACACAAAAATCCCGAGGAAATTTGGGAAATTTGTTAATGAATGGAGTGGTTTTTATTACACAAGCTATAATACGGACTGTGAGTTATTAGTAGAAGAAGAAGCAGAAGAAGGAGAAGAAGAAGAAGAAGAAGAAGAAGAAGAAGAAGAAGAAGAAGAAAAAGAGAAGGAGGAAAAGGGTTGTTTTTTTTTTGGGGGGGGGGGGAGAAAAATGAAGAAGAAAAAAAGCAGACGAAAAATACAAATCTCGTTCTATTTCAAAAACTGGGACGCCCTCACTTGAGTGGAGCCGTACAGCTCTGATCTACCACTAGTCAGCTTACTGCTCTAGTTTCAAGCATCAGTAAGTACAAGCTACTGACAGTTTCAAGCAAACAATTAATAGTTCCCAGCTCTCCATACGCGTTGAACACACCGTGCGGATTAGTTGCGTTTTGCTTTTTGGATCTGGAGGCAGTGATCGTCAGAGTACGCTGTCCACTTACCAAGCTGAAGTGGTAGAATCATGTTTTGTGTTTTTCGTCTCGTGTTTACCCATCTTTTTCTTGGAGTCTTGCTGTTGGGATTCCAGACACATGGACAACTGACTTCTGTTACGAGTGAGTCTATACTTATCTAACTTTGTTTGCAATTATAATAATGGTTGAGTAATTATGAAGTATGTGCCTAGTACCCAGCCAGATAAACCTACTATAGTATAGAGCAATACGATATTAGTACTATAGTAGCACACTAGGAACCGAAAGAAATCCCTTTATTCTTTTTTGCAGATAAATACTGTTGTTGTCATCTATTTGACTGTAACGAGATATTCTTTCTTCATCAAATCATTTTCTCAATGACAATATTTGTGTAATTATTGTGCGCCGATACGTCCCGTATAACTACTTCACCACCTAAATTTACAACTTAAGTTTAACTAATTTCGCAAATGCAAACTTATCTTATGATATTCTTTTACTTGAACTTCTTCGTTAATACTCAACAGGATTAATAAGTTGAGGATGTTTTTTTCCAATACAAAGTATGAAACATATGCATACATGTAAAATACAAGCATATAATATGAGTAAAACAACACCATGGTAATAGCCAGTCCTCGTATAGAGCATATTAGCAAATGCAGACATGGCGGAAGAGGAGTCACGGTGGATATATTGAGGGAAAAAAACAATGGTGGACTATCCCCTAAAAAAACCAATCAATTATAATGACATACTTAATCGAGTGAAGAGGTATAACCAGCGTTCAGGAAGAGGGCGAGAAGAGAAGGTAAAAACGCAGGGAATTGTATTTTCCTGCGGTACAACTGCATTTTCAAAGTTAGGCAAAATTCTGACAAATCGAACAATGTGTATGAGGACCAGAATAAGGGTATTGAATTGTTACATCTACCCAGTAATCTGTTTTCACGAAGTGACGGTAATGAAAACAAATTGCATTCACTTTGCGTTACGATTTTCCTCGCTACCGTCACTTCGTGAAAACAAGGACTATGGTAGTGAAACATGGACTTTAGCCTCTGATACTAAAAAGCGTTTGGAAAGTTGCGAAATGTGGTTTCTAAGAAGAATGATGAAAATCCCCTGGACTGACAAAGTTAGTAATGAGGAAGTTCTTACACGAGCTGGAGTGCAAAGGAAAATGATACGTGAGATGTTAATTAGGCAGTTGAAGTTCATGGGTCACATTGCACGTAAAGAAGGCCTAGGGAATCTTGCTTTGACAGGGAAATTGTGGGAAGAAGGAGTAGGGGAAGAAGGAGGATACTTTGGATGGACAGTCTGCAGAAATTGTTGGAAGAGAGAGGATTGAAAGAACTGGGAGTGGTACTAATACAGAAGGCTAGGAGCCGAGGGTTGTGGAACAGCATGATCGCCAAAGTCAAACGATATGGCACTTAGAGAGAGAGACAACGTATAGCAGGAAAATGTTGTATATGCGGATCCGTTTTAATGATCCACGTAATAGGAGTGGCGAGACGTCACGATCCCGCGAGGCGGGATGGTTTGAATAACTTAGGCAGGTGAAAGTTATTGTATTGAGAGGGAAAGGGAAAATTTTAATACAGAACAATAGTTTGGTGTTTTTGTTTGTCGTATAGAGATTCGAATAAATCATTTTTATTGGGACGATTTGCCATTAGGTTTTTCCAGAGCATTTGCCTTATTTAGTTTATCTCTGGTTTTTTCAATCTAGGGAATCGGTCCGGGCGTGGGGCAAAAAGGCAAAGCCCCATGCAGGTTACGGATCAAAGCAGATCAAATTTAATATTTTGCAATGTTTAATACAACGTCATTATATACCTAGGTGTGAACGTTGACGATTGAGATTGAAATTATGCAATGTTAAGAATATTTACATTTGATATTTTTATTTTGAAAATCAAGAATGAGCTTAAAAACTGAAATTATTTTGATGTTCAAAATTATATAACAAGATTGTTCAAAAAGATACAATTCGAATAAAAGCTGGCTTGGTCGGTCTGGCAAGCTTTCCCATACAGTTTGATATTGATGAAGTCTGTGAGTCATTATCTGAGTAATGAAGGATGAGAATATACGGGCAATGCAGAAGGGTTTTGATTGTTTTTCATTAGTATGGAATTTCTCTACATGCGTGACATTATGATCGCTTGCCCGCTTTGGTTTTGAAGTCCATTTTTGTCAGATTCGTAGCAATTGTATTTTTTTGTTAAAGAATTTTTTTTTCAATAGTCAGTTTGGGTAAAACACGACTTTCTGGAATCCTGCTACAAGTACCCGCATCCTAACTACCCCCAATTCTAATATCTTTTTTTTTCTTTCTTACTGGGTATAAAAAAAAAGACATGGATAGACATACTGAAGACAACAGGAAAGACGCATGGCATAATCAAAAGGGTTGTTGTTGTTAATAATAATATTATCTGTAACCACTTATGGGAGCGTACTCTCTCTAAAAAAAACAGTGAATTTTCACTCTATTTTCACTTTCTTGGGAATGACATCAGTGATCACTTGTTTAGGAGTGAATATCGATTGATTTTAGAGTGCTCTTTATTAAGAAAAGAGTTAATGTTCACTCTATAGACCCCCCCCCCTTTAACCCCAACTATAGTCCGGGGTTAAGCAAATTTTTGCCAGTGTGAAAAGAAAGTGTAATAAGCTTAACCCCGGACAATAGGGGGGAGGCTAACCCCCACCCCTTTAACCCCACCTATAGTCCGGGTTAAGCACATTTTTGCTAGTGTGAAAAGAAAGTGAAAAAAACTTAACCCCGGACTATAGGTGGGGCTTATACTCTTCCACAATACTGTTACCACCCATTTAATATTGCTCCTAATCCCTTTTTAATTATGTTCTTAAAAGGTTCGTTGTTTTAGTTTAGTATATATCAAATTTAAAACATCAAAGAAAGTAAAGCCCCTCTAAAATGTTGGGAACCCCAAAAATTTGATGGCAGAATTAACATAAGTCAATTTTTGCACTCTCGCAAACAATGCCTCCTGTTCATCGAAGCGTGAACACATACCACACAAAAATGGTACCAAATGATTTGGGATAAAACACTCTTTCATAAGACATATAACAGTTTAATGTTCATCGCTGATTTTTAAAATAATTAGCAATTTTCTAGGTGTAAACTTTTTTTTTTACTCACACTGTATAGCCTCTGTCACGGTCCACGGACTTTAATAATACAATGAACAGTGGTGGAATGATACAGGCTCAGTGCACAGCGATTCGGGATATGTAATATCATGTGTGCACATAGTATGAATAACGCGTTTTCTTTAATTCTTTAATTCCATTTAGCTTCAAAAGTTTTGATATGCAATATGAAAGAGGATGGCATTGAAGACACATTTTTCAAAACAAATGTGTTTGAAGTCGAATATTGATGAAATTGATTTGCTTTTCAAGAGTACCAGTCAATCAGTCTTCCATCATTCTCGAAAATTGTGTTCTTTCAACTGTTTCACAGGTGAAATTACTTGGTGTCACGATACAAAACGATTTGAAGTGGGAAGCCCATGTCAGAGATATTGAAAAAAGAGCGAATGCGAAACTATATATGCTCCGTTCTTTAGGGAAGTTCGGTTTTTCACATGAAGATCTGATTACTATTTTTATTGGCTATATTCGCCCAATCCTTGAATATGCTACTCAAGTTTGGAGCGGAGGCCTCACTAGTGCACAAAAACAACGCATAGAAAGAATACAAAAACGTGCATTGAGGATTATCTTTAGAAAGGATTACCATAGTTACGCAAACGCTCTTACTAAATCGAAATTACAAACATTGGAAAGTCGTCGAAATGACTTATGTGTTACCTTCTTTAAAAAAACTCTATCATGCACAAACCAGTTCAAACAATTTATACCCCAAAGAGCACACAATAGAACTTTGCGAAGAACTAACAAGATCCCTGAACCCAGGTGCAAAACTAAACGTATGCAGAATAGCCCAATCCCAGATTTGATACGCTTGTATAACAAAAGTTTTTTATGATTGTATTTAATATACTTTGAAACAAATAGTATATAATTAATTCATAAATTTGAGGTCTGATTTTTTACCAAGTTTGTCAATGTAATTTTTATGACATGAAGAATGCGATGCATATCTATATTTATATTTTAATATCTCTAATGTTCACCTAATAATATTCATATTTGTCTTGCAATGTATCTTTGTATTTTATCAGCATGTACATAATTGTTTTCCCTCTCTGTCCATCTGTCCCCTTTCTCCCTCTCTCTCTCTCTCTCTCTCTCTCTCTCTTTCTCTCTCTCTCTTTATCTCTCTTTATCTCTCTTTGTTTCTCTCTCTCCTGCTTTCCTATCTCTCTTTCTTTTTTAACTCAAATTTTTAAATTGAAATATTGTATAAGATTAATGGTATATACACGCTCTTCATAATTATGTAGATTGTAGTGTGACATCTTGAAATGTATACTTGCTTTTTCCAGCAATTTACTCATGTGCAATTCAGTTACTTTTTACTGTGATATATGAAATGTATAATTGTATTCACCATCAATGTTTTATTCATGCACAATTCAGTTACTTGTAACTGCGATACATGGAAATGAATCAATAAATACCATTTATCTGAAAGAATACAACATTTAGGTTTTCTGTGCACAACAGAAAACCCAAATTTTATATTCTTTTATCAATATTTGTCTTCAAACACATTTTAGAGGGGGGGGGAGGGAATCTTTGTAGAAGTGTGTTTTAAATAACATCCTTTTTCATGTTATGGTACAATTTAAGTGAAATTTTGCCATCAAATTTTTGGCCAATTTGGGGCTCCTAAACACTTTAGAGGGCTTCAACGTAAAAAGAAACAATTATCGTAATGTGAACTGTTTGCTATTTCATCACTGAAACACCATGAGAAAATACACCAAATATTACATTTTAATTAGGACAATTCCATTATCAATATTAATTTTAATTAGCGAACGCTGTCTGCTTTCCGCTGATTACCATACATGAATAAAATAGCGAAACAAAGATACATTTGTTCGTTGCTTAGTAAATGCATCAATTAGGGCTCGGTGCATGTAACCGTGACAAAATGATGAAATTTATTATTTATTTGGTATATAAGAAAAACAGACAAACTACAGCTTTTCGTCTAGCTTAGTTCCTTAAGCTTCCGCTTATATTATCTGAATTCGGCTTTCTGTTCATTCTGGTGAATTACTCCGAAAATATTTCACTTTTCATTGGTACTTTTCTGTAGTATCAATAATTTTTTAGTTTTCAAAATTGTAAAACTTTTCGCTGAATGAATTAAATCACTGAGTATACCTAGATATTATTACAAATATACAGGAGTTAATAATTGCATTATTTATCTTTATGGTGCTGGTAAGATCAGGGGCGGATCTAGGGTGGGGGTTCGTTTGTGAGTCAACCCCCTCCTTTTGCTTGATTTTCTTGAGGGAAAAGAAAACAATTCAGATTTTGTCGATGTATGTATTAAGGTGCATATGGGAGGGGGGCTCGCAAAATACGCCACAGAGCTGCCAATTTGTATTTGATTGATCGCAACTTCAAAAGTTCATAACTTTCTTATTTTTAATCAGAATTAACTTTAACTTTGACCGACCTGCTTCAAGTAAAACCAACTTAACATTAGCGGTAGAATTCCCCTTTAAGGCAGTCATATTACTATATTAGGGATCACTTTGTTTTGAGTGAAAATCCACGCTGTAAATAGTGGGATTCACTATCAACAGAGTGATTCAACCACTATACAGGGAAGATTCAGCGATTAGTATTAATACCTGATACAATTCCTGAAAAGTGGCTTTCAAATCCTCTGAATTAAGGGATATTATACGTTATGAAATCGTGTATACACGTATAAATGCAGTGAAACCTTTTTCTGTCGATGTTACCAAAAATACTTTGAAAGATAACGAGTCTAAAGAAATTGAAGGGTACGTGACTTGTTTTAAAGTTAAGTTGTTCTTCTTTTAAAAAAATTGACAGATAACAAGTCTAAAGCAATATTAAAGGGTGATTTTAAAAAAAAAAGTGAAGTTGTTCTTCTACTAGTGCTCTTTTAAAAATGATGATTTGAATTCATATGAAAACTACATTGTGCTATAGTTGCTTCTTTGATGACCTAGACAATAAATCATGACATTGAGAAGATGTTCTGGAACTACAAGCTCGCAAGATGAGGAAGATGTGAGTTGGTACAGCGGTACCGTCTATGGTACACTCAGCAATCTGTACAAAAACTTCAGTTTGATATGAGTTATAACTTTTAAATTATTATCGATCTAAAGTTAAGATTTTACACCGCCACCGCGTAGATACAAGGAAGGAAAATAGGAACTGCAACAATTAACGAACCATTTCTTGTTTCGGATCTAGGTCGCATCAATACAAATTCAGTTTCAGTTTCAGTTTCAGGTTGTTTTTTCATATTTCACACATTTTAACATGTTGCAATGATTTCACAAAGTAATTGGTTTATATGTGGATTTTATTAAATGAGACAAAAAAACAACAAAAAGTGAGTACCTCATATCACCTTGCAAGAAATGTTAGTCGATCAACGGCTGGTGAATTGATCATTTCACCAGCCATCCAACTTAGTCGTTCAAGGGGAGGGGCGCAAAGGGAGAAAGGTAGGGGATATTCACAACAACAACAATAAAGTGTGCATTTTAACCCACAAAAAGGAATAGGTCCATTCTGTCATGAAGGAGCTTAGGGGAGTAAAATGTGGAGGGGAGAGAGAGAGAGAGAGAGAGAGTGAGAGAGGAGACAAAGAGTGAGAGTAACAATTAGACAGGGAGCTAGAGAACAAGAAAGCCATGAAGCCATGCCCCCTCTTGACTCCCTTCTTCTGGTATCACGTCTCAAATTGGATAAACGCGACCATCCTCGATTCGACTAGAGGCTTACTAATCGCTCGACTGGCGACGCTTGCTCCAGACTTTATATAGTCAAACATATAAGGTTGCATAGGGCTGGGTTTGTTATTGGGTTTAAAGTTACGTACAGCCTGTAATTACGGTTGGAATCAGCGTTAATTATTACGTCATATTTCCCCTGTCTATATTACATTGACATGGTCAAATACGCTATTGAAACAGATTGCAAGATCAATCCAGTGGATACAAAGCGTTGTAATATTTCACAAGTTTATTCTTATCGACACAAAAGTTCTTGTCTATATACTTATCTCTTCTTCTTTTTTTTTTAAATTTTTGCTCGTCATAATGTGTAGTACAAGGTTGATAATGATTTTGTCTCATTAACCACTGGTAGCCACATCAGGATTAATGTTGCTCTTCCTGTGTGCCCCGTGAGTATCACTACCCCAGCATTCCCAGGTAACCATTCAATTCACCTGTGTCGAGAGAGACAAATGTGGGCAAAATACCTTATACAAGGACATGAAATTGTGGGCACCTAGACAGAATCGCATTTCTTGCTTATTAAAGAGTCGAGAGACTTTACCAATACACCACTGTGCTCTTTAACACAGATATACTTCATTTCTCATTTTACAGCGGATGAATTCGGTCTGATAACGACGCAACAACCGGAAGGGGATTTTTGGTGCACCGGAAGTGATGTTAGCTATGACCTGGATGATCTTTGTGACGGAACAGCAATTTGTCCTCAAGATGATGACGAATTTCTGTGTAGTAAGTTTTATTTTTATGTTTCAACTTTTATTGTCTTCAGTCAAATCCTTGCCAGATCCCCTGGGACACTGAACGTCCATGACCTACGTATGTATACATAAACGTTTTAACGTCCCTAGGAGGTTTTGTGAATATCTTAGGAACGCCCGATCCCTAAGAAATATAAATCGTTATTGGGATATAAACGTTCTATAAAGATTTTAACGCCCCTGGACGCCTTGGTTACGTTGTGTGTTTGGTGGATCTTTTGGTGGATTAAACAATAATAACTATTGATATCTTAATTCCTGGACCCCAATGAAGAACAGCTTTGTTATATTAACAAAGCTGAATGGGCTATCCAGCCATTCACTATATTATTGAATTTTACTATGTACATGCATTTTCTTTGTATTGTTTTTAATATTGTGATGGAAAATAAATACCAATACCAATACCAAAAAATCAAGGTAGCGTGGATTCAATTGAGCGAGTGCTTATTAGAGATGATTACATGGACGATTTTTCATCCTGTACCTTGAACTCACAGCTTTATAATTTTATTCAAAGAATTCTGAACTGGGTAAATTAATAATATATTTTGCCACATTTAAAAGTTTATTATATTAAACACACTCTGCGACGAAATAGGAAAGTGAATGGTGAGAACACTTTGACTTTCGACGACTTGCGGCCTTGGCGCTACAGTTGCTACAGTTCAATAAGCGCATGGCGACTTGTCATGTCTGTTGCACACGAAGCGTCATTTGTTGACGCAATCGTTCGTCATTCCCTGACGTATGGTTGCGTCAGAGACTTGTGGTTTGACGCACGATGGGAGAGTGGCATTGAGCACAAAGTAAATGTAAAATGATTAGTGCAAGTATGGTATTGAAATAATGGCTCTTCGACTAATTGCCTTCTGAAACTTGATTAGAACAGGTAATAACGCAATGAAAGCTACGCCTTGTGTTCAGCAGGCATATATAATTGTTTACGTTCATATACACTTTCGTACACTCTAACAACTGAAATGCTAGATACTTTACGTTTCCTACCGCCGCACTGAATTCCTATTATACATGCAGATTTGAACTAAAAGCAAGAACATTAGGGTGAAGGAAATAAAGTCAATGAGGCGTGTTGAGAACTTTGATAAAATCAGAAGTTTCTCACAATATGACGATGTTATCTAAGGATTTTGAATTACTTAGATGACCCATTTTCTACATTAATGAAAAAATGGTTCCATCATGCATCTGAAAATGATATTACTGTCATTGAATTTGTTAATGGAAACCAGAGAGAAAAAAAAAATTGAGTCTAAAATTAAATTCTGAAAGGAAGCATACATTTTCCAGATAATGTGGGGGGGGGGGGTAAAGAATCTTTTCAAAAATGTTTTTAAAATCGAACAATAATGGCAATTTGATGGTTTGGAAGCTTCTACCCATATAATACATCACAATTAAGGCTTCATTCTCCTTTCCCCTAAAGCAGAGAAAGGAACTTTATACAAAAATATCTACACCAACTTAAAATAGGACTTTTTAGTTGCTGTTGATCCGGATCGATCAATCGCAGACCTATACACACATCAAAAGGAGCGCCATTTCTTCAGTACACAGTTGCAATTGATATCAAGATGCGATCGATTTGAATCAATCGCAATGGAACGCTTTTAAAACGATGCACTGGTAACGGAGTGGCATTTAAACACAAAAGAGAAATGGGACAAAAAAGATATGCCAAAAACTAGCTGGGAATATTGCTGAAAAGCATGTACTCGTGAATGAGATTACGCGTCATGTACGTCGATTGGGTGCTTCTATATAATATTTTCTCCTTTTCTTATACATTACTTAGCTTTTAGAAGGTCTAAACATTTTATGCGAATAGTTTGAAGCATATTAAGAATATTGACAGAATGGAGGTAAAAAAAAAATTAAATTGCACGTTTGTGCATTTGTGTGTGCAGGTGAAGGTAAAGTAATATTATTGGCTGCAAATCGTTTGTGTCAATAACTTAATATTTCTCTTAATAGATTCAAATCATTTTGGATATTTGGTTTATTTTATAGCTGCATCTTTCAATTTCATTTTCAGAGTTATAAGGTGAAACATAAATTAGTTGTAAAATAAGCCGTCCAAAACAGACCTTCCTATGTAAACAATCTCACGAATTTAGTTCAGGTTTATCATCTCGGTTTCAATTATAGAAAACATCGCATTTTTATTTGATGCCAGTTTTGCATCAATCGTTTTTTAAAATTAAAGAACCGATCTGGAAATTGTAGGTACCCCTGGGCAAAAGAATTGCAGTAATATTATTGTTCTATCCAAAATGCTGGATTGTGATTGCCTCTAAAGTGTTGGGAGCCCCGGCACCCAATCTCGTTTGATAACCTTTCCTTCTCACTGTGTTTACAAACTAGTTTGACCTGCATTTCAGCGGTTATACTCTTCTAAAATCGTTCAATGAAATCGACCAGACATTGGACACTGATTGCAAAAGAAAATCAATAAAGTTGTTCATAAGTTTGTGTTTAAAGACGCCATATGCTTTTTCAAGAAGATATGTTTGTTGAAGTAACCGAGAAGGTTGCTATTTTTTTGTCGCAAACAAATAACGATTCACAACTTTCAATCACCTACTGGTGAAATAATTGTGTTCATATACGGAACTACATCTGTCTCGCTTGAAAAAGTTTTCTCTTTATTTTTAGAACTAAAATTGTCGCATCACACTTTGTTGAAATTCTTCGTAAATTTGTTTCTTCTTCAGACATCACTCGGCACTTGATTTTTTTCTTTTGAGCTCGATGTTTGTGAAGTAGTTTTATCTCTATTTTGAAGATTGAAGGTAAATCGAATCAGAGAAAATAAAAAGTCACACGATCTCGAAGAGTTTAAAGAAATAAAACACGCCGTAATGGCATATTTCGTGTGATCTGTTTATTCCATGATATTGCACTTAACTGTTTAAGTTCCGAGCAAGGCATTGATCTGTATCACATAAAAGTTTTCAAGTCAAAACTTCATTTTTTCTTTACCATGTTAAATCGGGCTCAATACAAGTCCATGAACGTTTTGTTCTCTTTATTTTTTTTACGAGTTTCATGCCAGAAAGATTCTATCCGAGTCCTTACCCCGTGAAAGTCTCATTTTAAATGGCTTTTGATCAATATGTCTTTCAAATCGTTATAAACATGGAAACGGAAATCGTTACACGAACCTTGTCAAGAGAAAAATGATGACCTTTACTTTAGAGAAAAAAAGTGACTGCTTCAGGAATAGCGGGTAAAAATGGACCTCGTGACGCGTGATTTCTTGTCAATTATCCAAAACGCATTTAGGTCAGTAAATGAAAAGCCTATAGTTATTCAGTTGAAGTAAAATAAAGAGGACAATGCAACCATATCATGACTTTTTTCTTCGATGAAAATAATATATAAGCCTCCAACAGTGAACATCGATCACTTTACGTTTTTTTCCACGATTCTTGTTCACTATTACTTTTAGTTTTACAAGACACTACAACAGTTCTGAGAGAGAGAGAGAGAGAGAGAGGAGACAATAATTAATTGGCAACAATAGTCAAGTATGACTTACTGCTATCAAATTATAACGAAAGAAGAAAGAAGCTCAAGAAGAACCTGTAATAAATGTATCGAACAAAGCAGTGCAATCACTAACATACATACAAATTGCTTTTGATGCCTTTGATATAATAATAATAATCTAATAGTCCACTCCAAATTTTATTAAACCGAAACGGAAATTCTTTTTGCCCAATTGATCGTGAGCCCGGCAGCCACTGAGCAGCGCTAAATCAAATCAAATATTGCTTAATGCGCTTTACATGACAAATTATTGCTGATGACAAATAATAAAATACGGGAAAGAAATACAAAAGGACATTCAGTTATTCGATTTCAATTTCAATTTTAATTTATTCATGTTTCCAACAAAACATTACGAATCAATTATAAGCATTTAAAACAATTAACTAATCCGTAACTACAAAAGGAACTACAAAATAGGGGAAAGAAAAAGGGGGGTGCCAGCAGAGATGAGAAAGGGACAAGACAATGCTTTACACGACAGAGATAGAAGAACACGGTCATAATACAAAGAGTAGACAATGACACAAAGAAGTGAAAGATCGGGGGTACAGAAAATAATAAAAAATGACGAGCTGCATGTTGGGTTGAGAAGAAGATAAGGAAAGAGAAATGCGGGCTAGAAAGGAAATAAGCATGAGAAGGCACAATATAATATATCAAATTACATTATTGAAGAGAACGTTTTTAAAGTTCTTTTTAAAAGAGTTAATCGAGGTGGAAAGAATGGAGGGTGTTCCGTATTTTGGAACCGTATTGAGAGAAAGTACACTCATCCATTTCGAGTTGAGACGTGGAAATCGGTGGAGTGTAGGATTATGAAGAGCTTAGTTGTATAATTTGGTTTACATTTCCTTCTGCATTTATTTTATAGAATGCTGGTGAAACGTTAAATACAATACGCTTTTTCACGGGTAACCAACGCAATTGTTAGAGCAAGGGAGATGAAGAGTCGTGCCTTTCTCTGTCTCAAGCAACTCAGGCAACACGATTTTGGAGTCCCTCAAGCCTTTAAATATCGGTCACTTCGTCCCTATTTTCACGAAGTGACGGTAGTGAATGAAATCTTTTGCAAGACTAGGGAAATTGCAAAATCTCTCCGACTAAGGATCATACAACATGTTGGCATGCACTGGAAGTGCTGTATTCCTAATTCAGAAAATGAATCACAACCCTGTAATATTTTTCGGAATTACGAAAAAACTTCGGAATAAAGAGCCCTATTTCACTTTCGGAATTACAAACCTTCTGAATAACGCAACAAATGTTCGTTATATTGTTATCGTGATCTGACATTAATTACTGCAGCGATATTCACTACAAGAGGCTTGATTTCAACAAACATAACGGTTCTTGCTTGTTTTTTAAGGTCAAGTTTCGGGGATAAAGTTATAGTTATAGGTATAGTTTTAGGCCCAGTGTTATAAGGAATTTACTCTCATCAAAAATAGGGGTTACAAATCTTCTCTATATTCCACTCATATTAGGTATCACTTCGTTTGGGAGTTGCATCCACTCCAAAATATCTTGAAATCAACTCTAAAGTAGTTGCTTGAATTATTCTTTCGAGAGTGGATTCAATAATAATAACGATAATAATAATAAAAAAATAATATTAATAACAACATTTTTCTAAGTTTATATAGCGCTTAATACATGGACGAAGTTTCTAAACGCTTTACAGACATATTATTACCTCTGCCATTGTGTTCGGGCTTGCCTGCACACAGTGTATGCATATTTTCTAATCCTAGGGGAGTTTTCCAGCCGGGCGCCATTTTACAGATCCGTATAATGATAAGCAAACTGAAATAACTGTCGCATTAGGCAATCCACTCTTTTAGGTATTTGGGGGTGACAATTCACGCTCCAAGGAGCTTGGAGCGTGAATTACTACCGAACGAAGCGATCCTCGCTTGGAGCGTGAATTTCCACCACCAAACGAAGCGATCCTTGATATCACTCCTAAGCAGACAGGATTGCCATTCTTCTGCAATCGCGTGTGCAAGATTGACCAGCTAGCTACAGCCCCCAGAGCATGGTGTTCTACTATTTACTATATCTATTTACATTTTAATTTCACCTAACATTTTTTTGTTTGATGCCGCCATCCTAGCCAAGCATCGCTCATGATTTCGGTCTCCTGCACTTTTTCCACGGATATAGTTCGGATAATAATTAATACTTTGAATTTATAATAATATGTGATAAAAATATTAAATTTCGTTATGATATGTTTATATGTAAATATGAGTTTGACATGAAGATATTATTGTTTGTATATTTTTTTTAAATCATACCTTAAGTTTTTATGTTCTTTGTTATTGAGTCATTATATGGACCAATGGAGAAATAAAATAAAAAGCATGAACCAACTCAATAAGTCAAAATTAGTCAAGTGATGAAGACTTCGATATTTTTTATCTCATTTCTTTAAATCAGGTGATAAAGACTTCAAAAGTTGCAAAACACCCGAACAGATGCGCTGCTTCAACACAACAGGAACATGTGTTCAGTTGACATCCATATGTGACGGAAAACCAGACTGTGCTGATCAAAGCGACGAGATATATTGCGGTAGGCCATAAGCTTGATTAAATAAATCTTATTTCAAAAGAAACTTTATCAAGAGTTGAACAAACGAATGAATCACTGAAAATTAATAGATAAGTGAATGAATGGATTTATTAATTAACAGAGATAAAAAATTATTAAAAATGGTGAATTAATTGATAAATTGATAGATTTATGAGATGAAACGGTAAGTTAGAAAACAAAATTATTTATAAAAGTGAATCGACAAGTAAATTTTTTAATTAATTGACTGAATAAACGAAAAATCTAAGAAGAAAAGAACATAGCCAACGAAATTAATAAGTTAGTGATTGAATGAATAAATGGTTAAACGAATAACAAAAGAAGAAAATACCTGTAACATAAATGAACATAAATGAATAAATCATTAACATATTAATGTTCTCTTCATTTCGCTACAGAGGCAGTAAATTGTAGTAGTACATGCTCGTTTTGCTCGAAGGTTGGAGCGTCATGTGACATGAACGGACTAATCAACAACCTGGGATCTTTGACGCTCCCGTCAACAATACGATACTTGTAAGTAAAGACTACCGTGATGGCTCTGATATTGTCTTAACACTTTATTCATTTATTTAATTACTTATCTATTTAATCAATTTATTATTTGTTCCTATATTTATCTATTCGATTCTTATTCAAAATACAGGAAAGGAACATGTAGAAGCAGCAATGCTTTAAAATTACGCTTTGCAGTGTACATATACTAGATACAATGAAGCAAATGAAACAAATTAAATACATGAAATACATGAATATGTGCAAAGTAAAGCTGTGTGGAAACATAATAATAATAATAATAATATTTGCATTTATATAGCGCTCATTACAGTAAATGTATCACAGCGCTTTACATATCATATACATATATAAGAATATCAATAACAAATAACTTATGAACTGATTTCCTGATTACGCATAAAAAAATTGTCTTACAAAATAACTTATAAACTACATGTAATATTACAGGTACAGATTAAGTATTAAATAGAAATGTCTTAAGGACTTCTGGAACTGAGAAAGGGATGACGACGTCCGTACGTTCTGGGGGATACGTGGTGCAGCAGAAGAGAAGGATTTGTCACCTGTACATGTATTGGTCCTTGGAACTGCGAGTAGTGCTGGGTCATTGCTTGATCGGAGCCCTGGTCTTGCTGTTTGATGCTTAGAGTTTCGTGAGGTAGTTGGGAGCAGAATTATTAAGACATTTGTATGTAATAGTCAGAATTTTGTATGTTATGCGCTTTTCAAACGGGAGCCAATGAAGTTGTTGTAGGAAAGGTGTTACATGGTCGTACTTCTGGCCCGAAAACCAACTTTGCAGCACGGTTCTGAGCTCGCTGCAGACGCTTCACATTTGAATGTGAACGTAAAACAATTTGTGTAACTGCATGTAACTTTCTGGACATATCACTTTAACAAAAATGTTTCTTAAGTACGTGCAGAGTACATCTATTGTGTATTTGATCACAACACGTTCTTGACATAATGTTTCACGTCCTTATTACGTCGTTATTACGTCTTTACTACGCTGAAACACGATGTGTCCAAAATCTACATCGTGCTGAAAAAATAATTTCTTAGGATTAGTGGAAATCAACTATTTCAGGAGTGATAGTCGGGATCACTTCGTATTGAAGTTGAATTCACTCCAAATTATCATGGAAGCTACTTTGAAGAAATGGTTTGGATCAAATTTTCGAGAGTGGATTCGAATATTTTAAGCGTGAGGTTTACTCCATCTCTCTCTAAAAAAACGACATCTCTTATACTTTTAATATTACTCGTGAAAAAGTCAAACTCCAATCCTTTACACTAAGAGAGGTGAAATTATGTGCTGAATATTAATGTAGCTCCTACCATGTTTGACATCGTGACAATTCATGAAAGGCATTATATTTGAGAGCACATGTTATTACTCATCTTGTTATATACTACTTTGTAGAGTTTAAACTTTCTTATTCTTTACTCAGCATACGTCATATATCTGCCCATAGATTTAACAGATAGGATCAGAACGTATAGAGACGAGTAATACCAACAAATGCCTTTTCGTTGGAAAAACGTGAGACTTGTAGACTACAATATTTTATTGTCCGCCAAGTGGGCGAGTAGGACAGAATCTACAAATGAGAAAATAGATTTGACTTTAACGTTCGCGTGCTTTATCATAAAAATTACATCTTCCGAAATCGTTAACCTTTTAGCAAAACACGTCGACCAGATAGAATTACAAATTTCCGCTTCATGTTCGTGTTGATCACAAATTGACAGGTAGACTAATTTAAATGGAGGAACAGTCAATATTTGATCATTACGATTACTCATTTTATCAGGTAATGATCATTAGAGCTTTAGAAAGACGTATATGTGTAATCATGCTTTTCACAATTATTATCTCTTCACCCAATCTCGACGATCCAATTTCCCTTAATGGAGAAGAATTGATAGACGTATTTGTTTAAACACACTAAAATGTTATAATTATCGTTGGGAAGGTCCAATTTAAGCCGAAATATCTTTGACGATGTTAAAGTTTTCTAATGTCATGTAGATGTGATGCAAAGATTGTCCTACAAACCATTTGATTAGAGTTTAAAAAAAACACAATTACTAAATAAAAATACATGGTTATAAGTTATAAATCTAGCTCCTATGATACCCTAACTCTGACTCTTAGCAAGGACTAAACCTTGTCCCTAACCCCTATCCTAGACCTCACCATTACTCATAGCCTTACCCTAACTCTAACCTAAAAGGGATCCGGTAACTTCGTCTTAGATCCTTTTAAAAGAATCCTTGATTTAGCTCATGCTGTAGTGATAATTATAAACATTTAGGTCAGTCAGGAACCCCATGACTTTTACAAGCCGATCGCCTGTCTGATTATCAAGATATTTATGATTGAAAATCGAAATCAAATTTTGCGTTTGCCAAACGGTTTTCATAACACTACAGTCAACTGGGGAAAACAAGTATGGTAAAACCGGTCACTCAAAGGTTTTAACTTTTTGAGGCACTTCTTGATCACATTGAAGCGATTTTTTTAGGGCTTCAGTATAACACAATTTCACAGACATTGATAACACGTAGGGCCGTTCATCTCAGATTTAACATTGTTAAACAATTCCTTTAACGCGTATACATTGTCCTGATGCATATAAGTAATTAATATTCTGCAGTCTAGGCTTCCATTTTAGTCACAGCAAATCGCAGTCACAAGAAGAATGAAACAAGACTATGTCCCTAGGGAAGCCCTCTTATTACCTCGAGAGATCCGTCTATTATACTACCTATTAAAAAAAACCGTTTATTTTCAGGGTAGTTCATGAGGGTGAGATGATAGCACTCAATAAATATCGCTTTCACTATTGACCTTGGATATGCATTAACTCCTGCGGGCGGATCTATTTTGGGTGAAATGAATGGAAGAAGGCAGATTTTGTAATTTACGTGAAATAAATATGCTTCACGACTTTTACCAGATTTCTGTTTTTATATTTTATTTTACTGAATTGAATTAAATTGGTTTATCCAAAAAAAAAATGACATGCAGCTCAAGGCTGGTAATTGTCTGTTTTATAGAGTAATTGACATTTGCATTATAATAAAAACATAAAAAACACAAGCAACATAACAAAATAACAGTGGTAACATCTCATAGCAATATTTATAAGATTTAGAAAGATGTATCAAAGATGTGGATAAGTAGTTATGAAAATAGTTTAGGCAATGTCATCAAATATTCAAGGGTAAATTCAATTCAGCATGTATAGGAATATTAGGCTTATTGAACAAAGATATCACTTTAGACAAACAATTTTAGTTGAGTAAAGCCCGCGGGAGTTAATGCATATCTAAAGTGTACCGGTGTGTTGGCCCAGTCAGTAGACCGTCCGCCTCACAACCGGGAGGTCGTGGGTTCGAACCCCGGTCGCGTCAAACCAAAAGACGTTAAAAGACGGGAGTTGCTGCTACCTTGTTTGGCGTTCAACAATAAGGAATAGAGCAACGTCGATCTGGAGCTGCTCAGTGGCAGCCGGGCTCACGATCAATTGCGCAAAAAGAATTTACATTTTCGGTTTAACTTAATGCAAATTTGGAGTGGACTTTAAAATATTATTATTATTATTATCATCAATATTATAATTACACAGAATGATAACAAATAAATGTGGAGAACCATCGACAATGGGTAATGAAAGAAATGAAATCCAATCGCAAAACAAAACCAAAGCAGTTTCAAAAAGTCAACTCCCCTCCCATTAATGCAGTTTTTTGCCCCGTCTCTCAGATAGTACTTCTAGATTACCCAATTTAAATCCTTTTTTTTTTTTAAAGTATAGGGGATTGCTAAAAACCTTTATGAAAATGTCCCCTCTTTTCTAGTACAGGATGGCCCGTAAGCAATACAATTTTCACGAACGAACAGTTTGCCGTTAATTAATCACCCATAACATTATCTATACATCATTGACAGTTTGGATTTACGTCGTATGTATCGTACACATCATTCACCCACTTCTTTCATCTGTAAGCCTCATTGTTTAAAGGTTATATAAGCTGGACGTTGAATTTTATTCGATAAAAAAAAATTCCTTTAAAATCTGTTCAAAATGATGAATATAACAAATTCTTATATTTTTTATGATTTTCTTATGATTTGCACTTGTTTGCAGGAAACTCACGAACTTCTCCGACCTACAGTATGGATTGCCAATCACTCAAGCCGAGTATCCTCTTTTGACAAGACTGTAAGTATATATATGAACGCCTTAATTACTCGCCGTTTTATACCTAGATTTCGAGTTTTACTTCGAGATTTTGAGTTTTACGATTGATTTGACATACTGATTATTTGAATTACACAGAGCTTCCCTATACCGATAGAACATTAAACATAATATATTCCCTATGAATCATACATCATTATGCAAGGAAAGCACTTTTAATTTAGCGAGAGAATAGGGCAGAAAAAACACCGTTATTAAATCAAAAACTAACCACAGTTAATTAAGAATGATAGTTACGTCACTTTTTATTGTTTAGAAATTTCTTGTCATACAAATTGTCTCTTAATTAACTGTGCTACAAACCTGGGGTGTTTTACAAAACTTGTCATCAGTGACAAATGACAGTTTTTGTTATAAGCTACTGAAATCCTTGCTTCTGATTGGTTATCAGCAGATTTGTCACTGATTTTAGCCATATTTTAGCCATATTTTAGCCATATTTCATTGGAAAAAAGGCTTAGTGAAACGGGTCCCTGTATAGTGTATTTACTTTGATGTACTATTTCAACAGGTATAAAACACGTTAGAGCGGCATATAACATACCCACTTTGTAATGACTCTGAGCGTTGTAATTAAATCTCTGGATTGTAATCAATTATACCAGCATCTTTATCATCTTATTTCCCATGTAGCTTGGGTCCTTAGGTGTTATTAACCTAATTAGAGATTTCTTTCGATGAATAGTCCTCAATAAACGGAGATTAATTACACCGTAGAGTGCCGACAGACGAGATCGAGGTTGGTCTAAGGGGTTAAAAAGATTTTTTTTAAATCAATAATGGAAGACACTATTTAGATTTTAATACCGTTAAGTGCATGGTCTCTGACAATAACAGCGCATTTTCTCCGTGTAATATAATGCCCCGTTTGATTAAGTTATTAAAAAAATTATCTTGATACAAAGTCAGAACTGCGATAAAGACCTTTGTTTTAAGGATGGAAAATTGATGTTAAAAAATGCATGTCTTGTGCGCTAAAGGAGTGCCTCATTAATTACGCTAAAATAGCAAAACAACGAACCGTCGTGTAAGCTGTCCTTCGCTTATTTTTCCTCGTTTTAAATTTCTGATACAATCATAAATAAATCCATCTGATGATGCACAGTACAATAGCCTTTCTGATATATCTTTCGTATGGCAATATTCTTTAAAAAAGACAACAAGAAAGAAGAGATGATGCACATGGATAATGCCTGACATATAGTTTTGTAGAAGATCACTTTATTCAATAACAAACCCATGCAAAGGAACACAGTGCATATCAAAAGTATTTTCACCTACGTCATTCAATGATTAATGACATGCAGGGCAACAAAGACAAACTGGAATATACAGTATGAGAATTATTAACAGAAGTGTTCAAGCTTTAGAAAAGAATAGTATTCAAGAACCTATCAAATATCAATAACAATAATGTTGATGATGATGAGGGTGATGTTACTACTCATGCTGCTACTACTACTACTACTACTACTACTACAACTGCTATTACTACTACTAGCATTACTACTACTACTAATACTATTACTACTACTACACGTATCAATGTATCAATGATTATAATTTTGTTCTATTCTATGCATTCTTCTTAACAGACTTTTATCCGGGAATGGTATATCTGCCATCGGGCAAGGTGTGTTCGAAAAAATGACATCTTTACGAACTTTGTGAGTATATACTAGCCGAGGCCTTGTATTCTGCTTTTTAAGTGTCATCCATTTTAATTCCAATAACCCCCCCCCCCCCCCCAAAAAAAAAAAAAAAAAAAAAAAAAATCTATATCTTGGATTGTAAAAAGCGCGCACTGCTTAAACAAATATATATTCAAACACTAAATTGTTTATCTAAATGTTAACAAATATTGATTTGCTTGACATACAGTGCGTCCCAGAAAAAACGAAACCGAGAATTATCGACATTTTATCATAACTTAATCAAAATTATAATTAATAAATGACACATATTTGTAAATCTTAGATCCTCATCTTTCATGTGATGCAACTCATATGATGCATTTTTCACGCATGAGTGATTAAAAACAATTTGAAGAGAGGGTTCCAAAAAGTCGTTTGGCGGGTGGTATCGGAATTTCAAAGAGATAAACACATTTCTAAAAAGTTCATTTCCTGCTCTTTAATATGACACTTTAATCAGGAAGAATGAGCAAGGAATAACAAAGGTCTGTTTGTTTAAAGTAATGCTTGCATTTCCATAATTTGATTAAACGAAGTCGTTTTTACTGACTGCTTGCCGTAGCAACAAACAGAGTTGACAAAAGACTTAACTCCGTTTTGTTGACGATCAACCATGCACAAAGAAGGCAAAAGACTTGATGCATGGCTGATCGTCAACGATCATTCTGAATCGATAGTAATTTCCATTAAAACTTTCTCATTCCCCCGAACCATCCATAATTGCGTCTAAATTTCAATTATGGAATGACGTTACTGAAGCCGCTGGAATAAAGCCTGATATATTGTAATTTGTATATCAATTATTAATTATATTTTAATTAACGGTCAATATTGGCGATCAGGCACCAATAATGGCTCGTAAAATGTTAATGAGAGTGCAAAGTGATTAGGATGAACGCAATGGAGTTTTGTCTCCTCTTGGAAGGGAGACAAAGAAAGGCAATCACTCGCATGGTATTGAAATCTTTTAGTTCTATTCATACTTGATATGACACAAAGTATGCTTTTAGGTCTGTAATCTGTTCTTTCAAATTCAAAGACTCGAGGGTTGAGTAAACGTTTTTTGACGGACTGAAAAAATAGAGTAATACATGGCAGTATAATAAAATAGTTTTTAAAAACATCTTTCTCATACAAAAGTACATGGAACATACCACTGCCTAAGACTTAGTGGACAGTAACCACACATTCACCTATATGCAAAATTATGTGAGCAATTGGGAAAAAGTCGGGTATTTGGTGTGTACTGTTAGGCTTGAGAATCATCTTAATAAGAAGAAATTGATTTAGTCTTGCTGAATATCACATGCACTGTACACAGAAATGCATACGTGGGACAACAATATGTTTTGATTTATACCTTTCAGCAATCTTAGAGTAAATATTAACAGGGGCATTTTCTACTATGATATTCTTCCAAACTAACACACACACACACACACACACAACAAAAAAGCACCAAAAAAAAATCACCTTTATTAGAGGTCAACCCTTTCTTTCTAGGGGTGTTAGGAATCACCTCGTTTTAATATATTAAATACTACATGTCTAAGAGGTAGGCCTACATTGATATGCACGACTATCCGATAAGTGTTATTAAAAGTACGAAGATACACCGAAAAATGGTTACCTGTACTTTTACAGAATAAGAAGATTACATTACCATTTATGTAGAACACTTGATAGGCGAATTCACAAAATGTTAAGTAGGCCTATTCATGTATCTATTTCTATATACCTGCCCCTGACGATTCCCCCTATTTCCGTACTGAAATATTGAGTAGGCCTGCCTGTATATTTTTTTAATGATCCTCATGAACCGTGTTGTATTTCGAGTGGAGATCTCATTCAGCTAAGGTTTCATAATGGGGGTCAGGTTCATTCCCGTGTATGTATTTTGGAGGTCAGGGCCCCGTCTTTTAAAGGTAAAGACCAGTATTGGAAACGCCCCTATTTCAAAAAATGAAATGGAAGCTCTCATTACCAATCATGTGAAAGAATATGTTTTGATTAATACATGATGATAAAAAATTTGCCGGGAAACCGCCTACTAATTCATATATTTGGTAAATTTGTTTCTCTCATGGTCTGTGAGAGATATAGGGTAGTCCCATAATCTTTCTGTGTATAGTTCTTGTAACTTTACGAAGAATGGGCCAAATTTCTTATCATTTTGATGATTCCAGAACCTTGCAGATGTTAGATGCTAGATGATCAACCTTTTCTGATCGATTCCACAACGTTTCTTTCACAATGCAATCGCATGACCATAACTGGTCTTTACCTTTAAAGAGTAGCGATTGATACGGATCAATCGCAAGTCTGTTTGCAGTCTCCTATCTCTTACGTACATAGATGCGATGGATATCAATCGCTTATCGACGGATATTCTCAAACTGCAAACAAGCATTAAAAGCCTAAAATTGGTATGTTGAAAAACTGTTAATTTTTTGCAAAGACAGACAATTTATCTATTTGATTCTTAACAACGTCTAAGTCATCACTTCCGACTGATTCATTGCAACGTTCTGTTTCCCTACTCGTGTCCAGGCGCTTACGCGGGGGGGGGGGGGGGGGGGGGGGGGGGGGGGTCGACCCCCTTCATTTTTTTTGGCCAAAGGGTGACCAACAAAAGTGACCGTACCCCCCCCCCCCCCCGCCCCTAACTGAACGAAATATCGGTCGGCCAAATTTTAAAATTTCCGGGAGATGTGCTTTGCAGTCCACGCAAATCTAAAAGTCCCAATTGTTCGGTGCAAAAGGAAGGACTTGAACACTCGGAGAAGGGTAACTTTTTCCAGAGACAAATATTTTCAGTCAGAGTTTGATCGGTAAGAAGATTCTGATACATTGGAACATTTCAAATGACCCCATTTTGTAAGAGCTAATACATAGGTTTATGACCATTATTACCGAATACTTATATAAATAATTTGTTTTTAATTCAAATTTACGTATACACTCACAAAATAGCGTGTACACATATATATATATATATGTATATTTCTTTTTCCACCTAAAAAAACCAAAACAAAAAGAAAATGGGGGGGGGGGGGGATAATGATGTCATGTTACATTACCGATCCCCGTCCTTTTATTTATTTATTTATTTTTTTGGTTTTGTTTGTGCTATCCTGACAAACCTGCTCGTGGTAAATTACGAAGGTTTCTCGGGGGGGGGGGGATTCCCTTATGTCTCTCAAAAGCGGCTTTTTGTGATACCTCAATTTTATCTCGAAATAGACAAAAAACGGCGGCCAAAATGCATTCAATATTATTCACATGCTAACGAGCTTTATTTTCGAATTTTGAAATAAATACTGAAATTAATGGGCTGAAAGATTAATAAAATGTGCATACAGTGTATGTTAAGCAATAATATATTGTGTTTACTTATAAATTCTAAAACGTGTATATGTTTACAGAAAACAACATAATCACTGATCGAGGTTAGATACAGATTTAAGCGAAAGTCCATCATTGTGGTGCGTTCACTGCGTTAATCCGTAACAAAGGTTGAGAGACGTTGGATCTCCTCAGCCTGTGACTTGTTCTTGAATTCAGCATTATCAATCGGGCCTCCTGTTCATCCAAGCGTTTATGTAACAAAAGAAAGCTTTTTGGTCTCATTTTGAAAACGTTCAAACTTTCATTCATGACTCTCTGGGTGACGTCATCGCTCTGTGCTGAAGACGCCATATTGGATGATATGAACTTATGACCAATGATGACGGTGCAAGTAAACAATACCATGTAGGAAATGTAGATTATGAAAATAGCTCACTTAAGGTTGCTTCTCCTATCACGGACAGGCATTTCCTCGCCAAGTGTCATAGAGGCACTTGGCAACATAGATCACAGACAGTTCACAGACACATGCTATAAAAATTCAATACAACAGAGAAATAACATACTCACAGGGAACTCCTGAAAAGACTTATATTGGGATATTGTTCTGAGTTCTGATGATAAAAATATGTCATGAGGTTTGATTCCCGTGAGCAAATTGCATTCATTATGTAGTTCCTCGAAAGAGAATAGACCGTCCTGAGTTATAAATGTTTGTCAAATTGTAATTTTCATAATTTTGTGCTGGGACAATTAGGAAAGTTATCCGCAACTAAATCACAGTGTCATTGCCGATTCACCCAAATTATAAAGTCTATTCCTTTAGTGATTACAACTTTCAAAAATTCATAACTTTTTTGTGTCCGATCTCTTTCAAACTTTCACCAGAAAACTTTCGAATGTTTTTGCTTTCCTTTAGAGTATTTTGCTATCAAGGTTGGAAGTCATGTTACTGGAATAAATGATGCGATATAATGAAGACCTGTGACATCTTCCATTAATACTCATGGAACATAGAAGAGGCAACGCTATCACTATTTCATTTAACTTTAGTAATTTAATCAGACAAAGGTGATAACCATTTCCGTGCATTTGAATTACATGTACATTTGCCTCTCTCCACCCAGGTGAGGAAAGATTTAGCTTGTGATTGAATGTTACAGCGGATTAAAGGCCGGGTTTTGCACAATGCATCACCAACTGATTGACACGCTCGTGATGATGCTTGGGTACAGGAACCATAGCGTATTAAGAGAGAAAGTTGTGACACGCGCACACATACACGATTAAAGGTCAACTCATGGAGCTTCAAATTGTTCCCCCCCCCCCCATAGAAATTGTTTATGGGAGAGACCTATATATCGGGAGCTCTATAAAACTATCTCTGTGTGTATTGTTATTTTATTTATTGCAATTCGGAAATGAAAACCTGCTTTCAGCCATGGCTGTTTTTCATCTAGTCCGTTTACAAAAGAAGACAACATTACAAAAGAATTATAATAATTATAAATTCTTTAATAAAAATTACAAAAAGTAAAACACACTTTCAATACGCTATGGACCAAACTACCGATTGCATGCTTTTCTGAATGACCAAGATGTTTACGATTATCGTTTGGTTAAGAGTTAGTTTGGTGGTGGGACTCGGGTATAGCACTGCAGCTAATTTAACCATTTTAGGGTTAAGGATATCGTTTTACGATACCGTCATATAGCTATAGCTTCGCCGACATCCCATTTTAACACGTGTCAAAATCAAAATTAAAATGTGTTTCAATGAAATGTCCGCGAACTTGTCCTTCTTTTGTGAATCGACGCCCTTGTTTTTTTTTACACCTTATACACTTTATTATTTTCATTTCTCTTATGTGCAGAGACCTGTCAGGGAACAAGATTTCCGCTTTATCTAGAGGATCCTTCCAAGGCATGCCAAGACTTCAGAACTTGTAAGTGAGAATTAGTTTAAACTAATCCAAAGCATTATTCTACATTCATCACTCTCCAACTAGGTGCGATAAATGGGTACCCAGTAGGAATAGATTCCTTGAATGCTCGAGGGTCTTATCATGGTTGGTCAGCTGAAGGCGGGTCATCAGGGCCCTTATGAATCACAATAATTATAAACACTGATTACACCCCCCAAATATCGTTATTATTAATTTCACTTTATTTTGTTTACTCATTTATCAATATATCACCAAGTAAGCCCATTCAACTAAGGTTGGTTTTCCATGGGTCCCTGAAAATACATCAATACTCTGATTATACATTTGAAGAAAAAAGAAAGCAATCAAATTAGCATTAATACTGTAAATTAATATTACATATTTTAGATGCATTCAATGAAATTGTATACGAGATTTAAACAAAAATTATCAATTATGAAGCCGGAAATGATGAGCAAAAAGAAATATTTATTGGTGTTTTTATACGATTGTTGATTTTTTGTAATACTGGTGTTATAGGTAGTTAGGTAATTTGGGATGTGTGGCCATGCTTTTCAGAGCGCCTCAAGTCTTTAAAACCACTGGAAATGCCCAGTTCATGTGGGTTAACAATACCTTACACCAAGAAAATAACTTTTCTTTGAAAACGGATGACCTTCTCGAGATTGTTCTGGTTACCAAGGATATCTCTTGGTAACCATTCAAATTAAGTTCAGATTTATTTCATTGTTCGTCTTTTATCCGAATATATTAGGTATCTGCATGATAATATGTTGATATTTATTGAGAATGGCGCGTTTATTGGTCTTCCTGAGTTACGACGATTGTGAGTGATAAGTTCCATAAACGTGGCATGATCATATTTTAGTTAGTCCTTTATTGTGCAACAAGGAAAATGGTGGAAGCATGTTATAGATGTGTAATTTTGGTATGAATATAATTTGATTCAATTAGATTCATATCATTTATTTTAATTCATAAAGATTTAAAAAATCTTGTAGTTAGTTTATTATTTCAAAACAAATCAGTTAAAAAATCTATTTTTAGAACTTCATATATTTTTCATCTTAGAAAGATTCTTTTGAAGTACATATCAATCGTAGTACATGTTCTTGTCATTCTATGAGCTATCACGACAATTGCAATTCGATTTTTATTTCATCGTTGATTTTAAATTGCATAGTGCCTTTTAATTTCTCCTTATATATTATTTTTCTCTTTGTCCTGATTTAGATTTGCTGCATATCATACGTTTATATCTGTGTAAAATAGTGGAATATCATAATTTCCCTTCCTCTTTTCTGCTCATGTTTTACATCCATATTGTTACCAATTTATTTTGAATGGTGACGATAATAATGTAGACATTTTATTTCATTCTCTATGGATTTATGATGCCACCGGCGGCCTATTCAACTCGAAGAGAAAAATGCACATATTGGATGCGAAATGTTCCGCGGAGATTCAAAATATATACTGCACACCGTGCCGAAATCATCAGCTCAGGGACAGTACTAAGAAAGAAAATATCAAAGATCATTAGAAATCATGTTTTAAACATTTTATTTCATCATTTCTGGTCCAGAAAACTACCGACGGTGTCGCCATTTGAAAACCGGATCCTTCTTGAGCATAAGATCCTCTCTTTTTTATTTCAACACTTTTATCTTCACATTTCCATCATTGATTATGATTAGCAAAATTTAAAATTAGCCAAAAATTCCCACCTTCTTCTCGGGAATCCAATAGATATATAAGAGTACCTCGTGTTAGAAAATCCCTCTAATGCACCTAGAGAAGTACGTTGTGGCATTGGATAGGAATGCATGCGTAAACAATTTTTCCTGACATTTGATTATTATTTTCACATCCAGATATCTCCACAGTAATAAGATCAGTGTGGTGCACAGAGATTATTTTAGCGACTTGAAAAATCTTGTTTGGTTGTAAGTAATTCTTTAGATTTTTATTTCATTTTTTCTCATTGCCTCTTTGTTAGGTCATTCTTTTAACCCTAGTAATATTGTAGAATTGTGACAAATTGTTTGTGCCTATTCTCATTAATATATAGCAAAGAAGTGATAAATAAAATCATGTTTACATCCCGATGCACACGAGGCGTTATTTTCATGACGCAGGGTTGCGTCAGCGACTGGCATAGTCTTTGCCGCAGCATGTGAAAACGATATCATATATAAAATGACTACGAAGTGACCAGTGTTAACATTTAGTTGAGTTATCCTACTGGTGCCTTTGTAGTCTCGCCTTATTAGCGCAATTACGGACTTTTAGATTTGCACGTCGACAAAGTGGACTGCTACGTGTGAAGTCCTATTAAGGCACTGGCAGTGCCTTAATAGGACGTTACATTGCCTTAAAAGGATGTCACGCGTAGCAGTCCACTATGTCGACATGCAAATCTAAAAGTCCCTATAGTATCGCGCAATCAGATGGACGCCTCGTGTGCAAGAGGTGACACTTTCAATTAATTAGAGCATGTTTGCTTTGAAACGAAGCAAGGGGATCAATGGTGATTCTAACCTACTTTAATTTTTGCAATTTTTTCTTGGTTATGTTCTTGTATGTGCAATTCTTATACATGTATTTTCATGACAATATTTATTTTCCTTTGTATCATGTAAATTTGTTTGCGGTATTTGGTGGATTTGTATGAGTAGGGGTAATGGTTTCACTTTTACCAGTTTATATCACATTGAATTACACGTATTTGCTTCACATGACTATATTTCATATATCAATATATATTTCTCCAGTTATTTTCCAATGCATTATGATGTATTGTGTTTTATTGTATTTATTAAAATTCATTGATGTACATCAATATTCTGTTTATAAACATATAAATCAATTTACAATGCAATGTAACAAATCAATATTCTGTTTCGACTCGGAAACATATAATTATATAAATCAATTTACAATTTAATGTTACAAATCAACATTCTGTTTGTAAACATAAATACATTATAAATCAATTTACAATGCAGTGTTTATAGCAAAGCAGAAGGAAAATTATATCCAGCAGAAACACTCTTTTTGTAATAACATATGCATATAGTCCCCCGATATTTTTCCCAGATATTTTTTGTATTCAGTTTGCTCTAAAGATTGTTTTCCTCCTTAACGTATATGTATATCTTTCTAATTAAATAATATCCTTTGATGATACATATCACAATGATTTTGATTTACAGAGACCTCGGTCATAATAAGTTAGAATCAATAAGTTCGGGGACATTCCAGGATCTCGGAAATATAACGGACTTGTAAGTATAGTTTGATATGAACAAGTTTTATTCCAATATTTTCCACGCCGTCTTAAAATTTCATTATTAAGAAGCAAAATTGATGTGCATTATCTATAAACTTATTTTTTGGTTTAAATCATCATTATAAGTTTGCTCATATTTTTGTTTAATTAGATTATCAAAAAGTGTTTGTCGTAAATCTAACCAATTTCAAGTCGTTTACTGAAGTTCAAAAAAAAAAAAAAAATCTGAATCACGTCCTTCCAAAAACATACTTTCGAAGCCAAGAAATCTCATTCAATTGTTCAAAATGCTTTTATAATTTAAAGGCTAATGATAAGCGTTTGTCCCCTTCTAATAGCCACTCAATAGACTGAGCTGAGTGAAAGTGATAAGTACAGTGATCTTTTTAATTCAATATGTTGAATCCACTCATTTATTATGCAATTTACAATATTATGTTCTTCCGTTAGACTGTCACACCTCTGCCTCTATATCGTTGTTTCGTTTTCTCGCTTTTCTTTCTCGCCTCTCCCTCTCCTCCCTCTATTTCTCTCTATCTTTATATTTCTCTCCTTCATAATAATTGACTATGATATAGATTTGTATATTTATTTTTTATTTTTTATTTTAATGAATACCATTTTAGTTCATTTCAATTCAACTTCCATTTTTCCCATTTGTATTCTTTATGTACATTTAATTCTTTTTTTAAGGATACTTCGGAATAACTCTATCAGCATGATTGAGACTGGGGCATTCAGTGGACTCGACAAAATCACCGGCATGTAAGTCATTTTGAATCTAACCCGCATCTTTATGCATCACCCTCATCTTTCTTCCAAAATGAAAATAAAAATGTCAGTCGTAAAATCGACGACAACGTTACCGCGAAAATGTAATGGACGTCTTAGAAAGGTATATATGTCCTCACGGCTAATAATAGTTCTAATCAGCGCTCAAAATACACGGGGGCGGTGGGCGATTCGCCCCCGTGAGCTACATAATCTCCCCCGTCAGGTTGCTCACGGGGGCGATTGCAAAATTAAAAATCGCCCCCGTGGAATTATAAAATAAAGATTATCTGTTCTGTTATAACTTTAACACAATATTGAGTTTCAATTTTTAAACCTTAAACCAATGAAATAGAACTTAGATTAGCGTGCAATATTTACCGTTCTATGAGTAGGCCTATTATTACTGATTCAGCTCGCAGTGCAGTGCCGCCATCAGCAGTGGTTATAGGCCTACTGCGCCGTTAGTAACGGCACGTGTGCACGCTGCCGCGCCATGTCTGCTGGAGCTGGAGGCAATCGCGCAAGGGCAGAAACCCCGGCCCCCCCACTCAGTGTTATTTAGGGTACGCATTATGCTTGTTCCCTCTTTTTGAAAGCACCCCCTATCTGAGGGCTGCCAACATTTCCGAACCCCTCTTTCGCGGGCTTTTCGCGGGCTTTTCCTGCCTCGGAGACCCCCTTATTCATGAAAAATGCTCAATGTACTCACCTAAATTCGGAATAATTTCTCAGGAGTCCAAAAAAAACACCCCCTTTTTTAAGAAATCTCCGGGTGAAATGTTAAAACACCCCTTTTTTTTTACAATTCTCGGGCCGGACTTTGTCGCACGAAAAGTACCCCTTTACCGGACATTTTGGTAACACGCATAACCCCTCCTCCCCCCCCCCCCCCTCCCCCGGCCCCCTTGGGCTGCCAAGTGAAAATGTGATGTTGAAAATGTGATGTGCATAGAAAAACGTAGATGCCAGGAAAACAATACGGGGGTTCAAAATAGCAACAACAACAAAAATCGCCTCGCCGCTATGCGGCTCGTGGACGATGCTTCGCATGTAAGTAGATGCCAGGAAAACATCACTTACGGGGGTCCAAAATCAGGGGCGAACCAGCCGGCGGCAAGAGGTGGGGGGGGGGGGGCCAAATCTTGAGAAAATATTTAGCGGCGAATCAGCCAGCCGGCGATCGGCGAATGAGCGGGGGGGGGGGGGGGTCTGGATAAATGCACATATATTTGTTTAGGGGGTTCCAGTTTTTTGCGCCGACTCAGCCGGCCGGTGAATATTAAAGCGAGAGGGGGGATGCTGGACAGGAGGACCACTAATCTATTATATTTTTTTCAGGGGGGGGGGGGAGGTAAAGCGCCGTTTTAGCATGACTTTCTTTTTAACTCTTACTTTCACCTATCTCAGGTGAACGTTTATGAAAGTGGGGGGGGGGGGCTAAAGTATTTACGATCAGGTAGAGGGTAGCGAGCGTAAATTGGTGTGTGGGTGGGGGGGTTCAGGGGTTTTAGGCATTTAATTACGGTCAGAGAAGCACAAATATTTTGATGCCGCATTTGTGTCACTGGCAGGTCAGGGGGGGGGGGCGTTTTTTATTTAATTTTGTAAGGTAAAATTTACGTCACTATCCTATTTTTTTTTACCGGTTTGGGAGGCTAGGGGGGCGGTAGAATCGGACCGTGGATCCGCGCCTGTCCAAAATAGCACACACACAAAATCGCCTCGCCGCTACGCGGCTCAGTAAAGAAATAATGTAAAGGTTGCTCCGAATAATGAGGAGGAAATTACGTGCAGAACGAGAAAAAATCGAGAGAATGTCATCACGGGATGAAAGTCAGGAACAGCTATGTAGCTTGTAAATTTGTAAGAGGGAAAATGCTGATTAAAGTGATAATGATGAAATAGCAAATAATTGAGGAGTATCATATGTACCAATTCAATGGATATTTGTATAACAAAGAGCCCCCGTCAGTACTAAAAGAGCCCCCGTGAGAAGGCTCACGGGGGCTCTTTTTTTTGGGGGGGGGGGGGAAAGAGCCCCCGTGGACAAAAAATTAATTTGAGCCCTGGTTCTAATAGACTAATGAGTCTAGTTTGGGCAATGTGGTATCTCCCTCAAGGCCAGTCAATATTATATAAGTATCACACTCAAAGCCATCCAATATGAGTAACCTGCTCAGAAAAGTTCATAACATTTAATGAGACATTTTTTCCCCTCGATATATCAATGTTTATACATATAAACGAATATTTAGAAACTTATTGTATGTATGTAGGTAGATTGTAAAATACATATTAAATCTTTCAGTTTACTATTCATTTATACATATATATATACATTATACTCCTAATTATTATGTTTTGTTAGTTACTTCATTTATTTCTTTTTAGCTGAATGATGTTGATATATGGTATAACCAGTCTTTTTTTTTTCTTAATGACAGATCTTTTACGGACAACAAGCTAACCGAACTCCGTAAAGGAATGCTCGATGGACTTTCTAGTGTGGAATGGATGTATGTTTACAATATTTTTTAATCTCAAGCTCATTGCAAATTTTCCCCCAATATATATGAGCTTTACCATCTCTTCCTTTATCCCTAAATTCCATTTACTTCAGACTCTTTTCTTCAACCTTGAAAGCAATCAGCGTATGTCCATGTATATGCGTTTATATTGAAGGGATATGTATGGTGAAATCTCAAAACTTGTAAAAAGGCCAAAAAGGTGTTTAAACAAAAATCAGAATTGAAAACTTTCATGAAATTGGGTGAATTAAACAACGCCAGTTGCAAAATTCAAATTTGAAAAGACATTATTTTGACTGTAATTTGTCTCATAATGAATATTGTGCCAACAGGCGTTGTTTAATTCACCCAATTCTTTGTGTACAAAATGAGGGAGTCCATTTTCACTCATAGAGAGAAAACCTTTTCATCTGAAATTTAGCACATTCTTTCATACACTCATCTTCCTGCTACACATACATTGAGGGGGGGGGGGGCTTGCAGATTCCTGATTTTAAGTTACAATAGAATTTCTGCACAATTATTGGCAGTGAAGACAGAGAGTAGAATAGCCTACCCAGGACAGAATCGGGAAAATATACTCCCGCATAATCCAGCAAAATCTTAAACCTATATTTCTGAAATACACAGAAGGAAGACAAATCTTACTTGTGAGAGAATATTCTGACTCAGCTTGTACCCCTAACCTGGATCCGACCCTGTCGATGACGGACCAATTATCTTTAAATAGATTTTATTTTAATCATATCCAACATTGTAAACATCATTATCGGTATAAATAGTATTAGTAACTATCAGTATGGTATTTGGTATTATTTAATTATGATATTATTACTATCATTTTTAGTAGTAGTAGTAGTATATGTATATTATTGGTATTATTTTTTATGTTGTTGTTGACATTGTTGTCTTTTATTATTTTTTTCTTCTTCAGATCATTCCGACGTAACCCATTGTCGTATATCGAGCCTGGCACTTTTGACAACACGAATAAAATCCAATACTTGTAAGTAAAAAGCGAAAGACCGCGACAAATACTGAACTTACCTCATAATGCACGGTTGTGAATTTGTTGGCTGTTTTTTTACGGGAAGAGCTTTCCTGATACCAAGTCCCTGTTTCATAAAACTTGTTATCAATAACAAACGCTAATTTTTCATGATGAATCTGCTCGCAGCCAATCAAATGCAACGATTTCAGTAGCTTATGATAGTCATTAAAACTTGTTATTGATAACAGGTTTAATGAAACAGGTGAGTGTGTGTGTGTGTGTTTGGATATTTACAGACGTGTATCAATCAGATATGATTATTAACGTCTGGGGACCAACCTCTAACGTCACCATACGAAATACGTGACTCAGTTTCGAACCTGCGTCCTCGGCTGAATCAGTTTGTAACTTCCATTATGAGCTGGATTACAGGCGCACGCCACATCGCCCCGTCCTTGGCCCCGTCTTATAAGAGTCGCAAGTCCTCAAATCAATCGCAAGTTTAAAGTCTTCTATCTCTTATGTAAATCGTTGCGATTGATATCAATTGCAAATAAGTTGTAATTAATCAGTTTATAAGACGGGGCCATGAATTCGAAAGAAAATGATCATGATAATTAAGCTCACCACCACTTTTTCCTGATACTCGAACTCAACCTCCTCATTAATATTGTTCCATACATGATTTATGTACTTTTAAAAAGCCACAAACGAATAAAAAGAAAAAAACTGACGAATATTCAGTCTCAATTGCATAAATCTCGTATTATTTGTCTATTATTTTTGTTTTTGTTTTTTAAATCTATTTTGATACTTCTAGGCTGTTGGTGGAGGTTCAGCTTAACCATCTTGAACCAGACATGTTCAGGGGAATCGAGAGTATCCAATACCTGTAAGTTATATCTTATTCTTAACCTTTTATTTGCTTTTAGCACCGTTTTACACCGTCGCTGGCATGCCAAAAGTGCTGGTAGGAACAAAAATTATTGGCACTAACATACTGTGCTATCAAAGGAATGATTCCACTTCCCATTACAGTCAATCCTGCTTTAGAGACCTCCTCTCTATACGGACTACACTTTCTGTTTCCCTCGAATAATGTTTCTCATTGAAACAATGTGACTTAAAGAACGTGTATGGAAAGACCACCTGCCTATACCCCGCCCCCCCCCCCCCCCCACTCCGGGGTCGGAATGACCCCATGCGTGTTACCAAAATATCCGGTAAAGGGGTACTTTTCGTGCGACAAAGTCCGGCCCGAGAATTGTAAAAAAAGGGGTGTATTAACTTTTCGCCCGGAGATTTCTTTAAAAAGGGGATGATTTTTCTTTTTTTCTCTCGTCTCTTTGGACTCCTGAGAAATTATTCCGAATTTAGGGGGGTACATTGAGAATTTTTCATGATTTAGGGGGGTCTCCAAGGCAGGAAAAGCCCGCAAAAAGCCCGCGAAAGGGGGTTCGGAAATGTTGGCAGTCCTCAGATAGGGGGTGCTTTCAAAAAGAGGAAACGAGCATATGCGTACCCTAAATAACACTGAGTGGGGGGGGGGGGGGGCTATACTAACCACTTTTCTTCTGTTTGTTGAACAGTCTTTCTACACAGCTATGTCTGTGTGAAATGCGTACTAATCTTTGAAGATCTTTGTTCATTATGGGACAACAGTAGGCCTTCATGCGACTCAGGTTTCATGACCGCATCGTGTTGCAAAATGTCCTTTTCGTAACAAATCGGACGTATTGACTTACAGGACTTCTGATGGCAAAAGGCTCGTATTCGTTGCTTTACACACTGCTAAGTCACACGCATATGCTCTAATAACACGTGCCTTCATGTAGGTCACCTATTATGCTCCAATAAACATGCATACCGACCTACGCGTGCTCTAGATCACGTATGTAAAGTCTTGAACAATTACGTGCAAGGATAATTCAGTTTTCTTTTCTCTCTTTTTCAATACTCAGTAACGCTTTTTATCCTAATATTTCACGAAGGATTCTTTAGGTTGAAGAATTTACTTGATATTTTAATTAGATTGGTGTTATTGGTATCCGATATATATATACAGACACTACGTACCTTCTGCCGGTTGTGTGCGAGACGTCATTTCTATTGCCTTACTAATTGCGCTATTAAGTAGCGTATACGTTATTAATTCAGTGCAATGTTTGCACTATTCATCTGCATTCGTTTTAGTATGTCACTCTAACATGGTGCTTCAAATACTGCACCACTCGTTCACGCAGTCCTACTTCAGCAAAATAACGACCCGTGTACAGCGGGCATGCGAATTAATTCGTAGGTAACAAGTTGAACCGTTTTTGTTTAATCCCCAGCTCGACGGATGACTACCGTCTCTGCTGTCTCTTTGACAGTGCCGATCAATGCTCACAAGCTTCGATGTCCTCGCTAGACTCCTGCACCAGACTCATGCCTAACAACGTCCTGCGAATCGCCATGTGGGTACTCGGGTTCGGTGCCCTCTTCGGCAACACCATGGTTATTTTCATCCGATGCCGCAAGAAGCGATCGAACACGAGGAATCATGCGCAAGTTTTTTTCATCTCGAACTTAGCCATCGCTGATTGGTTCATGGGTATTTTCATGATCATTATAGCATCAGCTGATACCTATTACGGGGAATACTACTTCCTCAAAGCGCCGCACTGGAGAAGCTCTGGTCTCTGCAGGTTTGCAGGTGCCCTTGCCATCCTATCAAGTGAGAGCTCTGTGTTCTTTTTGACGATCATCACCGTCGATCGATTCCTGAGTGTCGTGTTTCCCGTTCAGCAGATTCAAATTCCACTCCGAGTCGGCGCGCGTTTGTGTCGGCATCACATGGGTCATCACTATCATCATCAGCCTGGGGCCCGTGGTGATTGGCTCATTCGTGCCTGGGTTCTACGGGCTATCCGACGTCTGCATCGGTCTGCCCCTGAGCGTAGATTCAACAGGGACGGGAACTCTAGTCTTCGATTACACCCTAGCCATACCTGTCTTTACGCCTAACAATGACGGGAGCCTCCAGCCATCTTGGATTTATTCCATAGTACTTTTCTTGGGTATCAACCTCATCTGCTTCTTATTCATCCTCATCTGTTACATCATCATTTTCGTCCAGGTGAGAAAGTCAGCAAACAGCATCGGGAAGGACCGCAAAACGGGATCCCCGCACGACCAGGAGGTGAGGATTGCCTTCAAGATGGCCATCATCGTCGGCACCGATTTCTTGTGCTGGATGCCAGTCATCATCATGGGGATTCTCTCCCAGGCCAGGCTGGTCGAGCTCCCCGTCTCGCTCTACGCCTGGTCGGCCGTCTTCATCTTGCCCATCAACGCTACCCTGAATCCCTATCTCTACACACTCACGGAGTTTATCGGTCAGAAGAAAAAGATGGCTAATGGGAGTCAGAAGTCGATGAATACTAACAGTACAATGGCTACAAGCAGACGAAACCATGACGACACCAGATTATAGTACTTTTTCGCATGGTTTAGAACACAGTTTAATCTCGTGTTGGCTAAATAGATTTAAGAAAATGAGTTGTCCGATCGTAATCTTGAATATATAATTATGATCATTAACACAAGTCTCTCTCAAAAAAAGAAAACAACTCACAAAAGCACACACACACGCGCGCCCATACACCTTTTTATCCATGAAGCATAAAATAATATCTGATCATCAGTAGAGGTGTGGTCTAGTGGATACGTCGTCGGACTGACGATCACATGATTCGCGGTTCGACTCCTGCCCCAGTACCAATGTCCTTTGTCAATACATTCATCTATATTTGACACTCTGTTGTTAAATGGGTACCGGTAGGAAGCAATTCCGAAAGCAGTGGAAGCTTCGGAGCCAACTTCAAAGCCAAGTGAAATGTTACAATACCATTGTTACGCTTTAGAACTCACGAATGCGTTTGAATAAATTACAAGAGCTTCGCCTCCTTTCTTTCACCTCCCTGGCCTAACAGAGCCGGGGTTATATTGGAGCACCTTACGTGGTAGATAATTTACGTGCGCCATATAACACGCGAGAGAGTAATCTGTGTCTAGATATAACTCGTCCGAAGACTGAGTCAGGGAAACGGACATTAATGTATAGAGGTGCACAAAATATGGAACTCACTCACTGAATACATTCAGAAGTCTTCTAGTACTGGCATTTTCAAATCTAAACTGGCAAAGAACAACAAAGTATAGTCGGTAAAAGCAAACATATATGGAGAGAATCGTTGCTATATATTATTTTCTATGTGTTTACTCCACAATCAATATAACTGAAATGATAGTATTTTGGTTTAATTAAATCATGTGAACATGTTCTGCAATTTTAAAGAGCATTTGGTTATTTTGGATTGTATATATCAATGATGAGACAAATTGCTAAATAATCAATAGATGCCCCCCTCCATATTTGTTTTGTTACAGACAGTGATAGTGGGATAGAAAGGTACACTAAATTATATACATGTACATATATATTTTTACTAATATTTTACTAATTTTTACTACCCTTATATAGGTTTAAAATATAATTGAATTATCAGTTTTTTTTTTGCCTAAATACAGCTTGACAATACAATGCTATTTTATTGTATTAAAAAATCTTCTAATATTTAGAAAACCTGTATTTAATTTATATCCATTTTTTAAATAAATCTAAATAAATTTAACTTTGTTAACTGTATTTTCACTATGTTTTATCATATTTATGTCGTGGTTAAAATTCCTTGATATTTCTTTACAATAATGTTTTTAAACCAACTTAGACAATTTTTATATTTATGCATACGTAATTACATGCATACGAATTCATATAATTTATCTCTACTCGGTGTGGAATTCTACTATTTCGTTATTCTTTTTTTTTTATTGATATATGTTTTTGTTCTTATATGTTTACTTTGTATTTTTATTGTATAAGCACGGCCCAATGTAACAGCTTAACAGCTGACATATAGGCTTTTACCAAATCAAATCAAATCAAATATTAAATGTTATTTCCAAGTGGTGTATAGAGATTACTCAAGTACTAGACAATTTCAGTTGATATTAGATCACTGAAACTACTTCGTCAGTAAAAGGATAAGGTGTATAACCTGATGCACTCTTTTATTAGTGTAATAATCCACTTTTTCAGAAGTCATATTAGGGATTACGTTGTTTAGAGTTGAAGAAGTCAATTAGCCATTTCTATAACCAAATGTATGCATATGCCTTTATGAAGCGCCTCGATACGGTTATTCTAATCACTAGTTTCGAATAAAATGTATCTCAATAGTCGGAATGCAAACTTAGTCTTGTCCTACCTAGCAACACGAAATATATGCTATTTGCATTCTGTCTAATGAACTACGATTATTCGTATCTGGTGCATTGAATCGAGGCATGTGATAAATTTGGTTACATTATGAAAATGGCATATTGAAATTATTGTGGAATCCCTTGCACAGTAGTGGTTTGAATTACATTTATGAGGGTGGATTCCACTGCTTTTGGCGTAGATTTTTTTCCTTAAAACGAAATGCTGCCGTATACGACTCCTCAGTCAAATTTTACTAAGATATAGAAAATATATTGTATATTATATAATTAGGTCTTGATATTTCAATGAACAAAGTTATTTCACATGGTATGTTTGTTTTAAAAAAACTATTTGCACCGGAGCATTGCAATACAAAATTTTAAAGGAATGTTCATTTGCTGCATTATGCTTTTAGACTTATGATACTGCTACTCAGGCGCGTACACAGGGGGGGGGGGGGGGGGGGGTTAACCCCCCCCCCTTTGGTAATTTTTTGTTGTGTAAACCCCCCCCCCCCTAAATTTCTCTAAAACCCCCCCCCTTTTGTTTTGTTTTTGTTTTTAATATAAAAAAAAAAAAAAAAAAAAAAAAAAAATATTACCCCATGGTTGACCTAAAAAAGCTGACCTTACCCCCACCCCCCCCCCCCCCCCCCCCGCTTATTCAGCGGTTGGCTGAGTCGTTGCGAAATTTTCGGCCCGATTTATAAATGTTAACCCCCCCCCCCCCCCCCCCCCCCCCTTGAAAAAATCCTGCGTACGCGCCTGCTGCTACTCATTACACATGCATTCGAATGCTCAAAATCAATATTTTATATTTCTATTTCAAGAAATGTCAAAACATTGCAATATTTTATTGTGAGTTACTAATCATTGAAAGGAGTCAAATAGCTTTTCGTCCATTTTCTGATTTTACATATTCTGAAAATGCCATCCGGGGAAAATGTGTCTGCTCCATAATAAATAAGTAAATATTGCGCAATAGTACATTTCAGCAATATTCGCTCAGAGCAATCGAGCTATAATAAATGAAAGTTTCTCCATGAGATTGGCGTTTACAATGTTCAAAAGCTAAGCGATATTCGTCAGATTTTCTCCATTGTTGCTTTTTTGCTTATCTGATTTTTCAACTTCCACTGAATCGAGGCAAACTTATTATTGTATGAAGTTTAATCCTTATCAAAGATAAAGTTGATTTCTGGGAAAGTTTTTGGCAAAAAAAAGTTTGACAAAAGAGCGGGCCCCCACCCCTGGCAAAAAAAGATGGCAAGCACCAATTTACCTTTTTCTTTTTTTGCTCAAGGGAGGGGGGGGGTGTTGAGTTAAAATACAAAAAATTAAAACAATATTATTTTTAGTGCTCGTTTTTTCTTGTTGTGCTTGTATATAATGTATGTTCTGTAAATAAAGGAAAATATTTAGTAAATTTGATGATAGAAATGGCAATTTACACCAAAATGAATGTGATTAATTATAAATTTTGCAATTTCGCTGCTGTTATCTGTGTAAGAAATTCGATTTTATTTGTACATGCTTTTTATGAATTTCTTTATTAAAAAATAATTATTTAAATATATTTAATTATGTGTAATATCATTATGACTGTGCTATTTGTAAACTGCATAAGAAATAAATAGAAGTAAAATCATAAATATCTAATCTTTTCATCGGCACCAAATTTGTTTGACTGTACATTTCTGACAGCTTTTTGGCGAATGAGTGGGAAACAAGCGAGGCTTTTTGTCAGAGCGTTTTTTCATGTGTGTAATTGACGCTTTGTCTGATAGAGAAACAGTGAATTCTGAAAAGACTGTTCCCATTGTACCTTGAGTCTGTGCTCATAGGACAATCTCGACTCGTACTCATGAAAGTGGAACTACTTTTCATCTGTGCGGATTTCCATATCATATAAATCATCTGACTTTCCCGTAGTCTACAGATAAACCTTAAAACACAGGGAACACTGGTTCACATTGTGGATATTCATACATACCTTATCAATTCTGCATCCACCTCTCTCTTCTTCATTTATGTTAATGCTCTTCCTTATACCCCCTCTCTCTCATTTATTCATCTGTAACCTCCTTTCCCATATGTGTAAATGCTCTTTCTTAGTTTATTCGCTTGTTCACGCGCTACATCTGTGTTCTATGAATTTTCTTGAAGAATTTCAAACTAGTAACTTTGTAAAAGCGTATACCACCTACAGTGGGTAAAACTTTTAGTAGTAAAGAATTTCCTTTGTGTTATGATAAAACATTTTATAGTGGACAAAAACAAGATGCTCAACGAAATGACTGAAATCACTGCATTTGATCATCAAAATAAAATTCGTTATAAAATTACTTTTCATCATACCGATGATAGCTCAGTTAAGGGACGCACAAAACATAAAAGACACAACACTCGGCTCTGGCGTACGGGCATAACTTTCGTCGGCAAAAGAGGGGGGGGGGGGGTCGGCGCTCACGTATGTTGCCATAATATAAGAGGTCACGGTTGCCCGTAAATGTTTCGGTTAAAAAATAAAAATCAATCTTTCAAAATTCGCAAGGGGCTCTTCCTGAAAACCACCTCCCCGTCTCACAAATGTAGGTCTGCACATTTGGACATGCATGATACATGTATGTTCGTTTTGTACAATACGTCGAAAAAAATAGGCAAGCACATCCATCGAAAGTATTCCACTTATGTTAATGTTTATTACCTAATAAATTATTTACACTGCTTATACGGTATATGTTTTAAATATACATATTTATTGAGAAATATGTGTCTTTCAAGAGACATTGATTCGAAAGAGTTTATCAAATCTCTACAATTATTCATTATTGAAGTTGTTTGAATTATAAAATTTAAGGAACGCATATACAACGCCATAACGTCCGCAACAACAAATATGTCTATTACACTCCATAATTTCAAAGACAACTGATATTGTATCTCATTTTTCGTTCATAATCCGGGATAATTACTGCAAAAATAAAGAAACGTGTTTACAATACACTAATAATCTCGCTAGTACGTTATATTTACCCTTTGAAAATAAGTAATTTTACTGCATAATATGGATTTGAATATTCAAAATCTGAATGAACATCACCACAAAGACTTTAGAGAAATCAACTCGAGGTCAATTTTGATGTCCCATTTTTTATCCCCCATATATTGTTTTCTTCTTTGGATTACACAATACGCCACTGTAATGTTCAAACGTTTTAGTCGGTCACGGGAAAGGCTTTTGATATTACCTCTCGTTGATTTTGCGAAAGTATTTTCGATTGTGTTAATTTTCATTAATCTATCTATCATAAATGTATGACAGAATGACGAAAACTGACACTCATTTAAAAAAATAGTTGTAAACTATTTAAATGAATTAGACTTGAAGGATATTTCAGTGGAAAAATAAATCAAATCAAATAAATCAATCAAATCAAAAGAAAGAAGGAACTAGAGATACCTGTATATGCTGAATGAATTTGGAAAGAAAAACACATTATTAAGAATTTTTTTTTACCCCCCTCTCCTAAGTTTATGGAATATTTTGATTCATTCAACATAACCGATAACATTACATTATATCATTCTAATATTCAGCTGATGGTTTGTTACTAATGCTTTTCATGCATAAACAAAATATTACGCTACATTCATTTCAAAACATACAATTGAAACGTGATAAAGGATAAAGGAAATGTATAAATATAAAAATTAGGGAACAAAAAAAAATCATTGACAAAATAATTAAGGTAAATAAACCATTATCGGTAATCAAGGGAAAACCAGGGGGTGCAGGGAGTACCGAACCTCCACCACCCCATAACAGAACGAGGACCGGAGCCACCTGCCCGGTACCGTTAGAGATACAATAATTATTGTTCTAGAATCGGTCCCCTGAAGCTTTTGTGGAAAGGGTATTGGTGTTGTAGGCCCTATTTCACCGATTAATGCTAATAGCCCTTATAAGTGGTTTTCTGGAGTTTATAGCATAAACATATACTTTTTCTCATAAACCTACTTTAATTAATTGAATTCACAAAGTAGTAGCTCGCCTAAGTATTAGTTCGGCTCTACGCTTTCCCTTGCCAATTTCGGCCATGAATAGGTTTAGCTTTCCGCGGATTCTGTCACCTATAGACTGAGGATAGAAATCTAATGACTCTTGTAAGCCTTCGAAAGACCATTCTTCGATAAGATCTTGTAAAACTTCATTCAGACTCGTGTTATCTTCACTTGGAGAAGAATCGCGGGCAGAAACTAGGTTAGGAAAGGCGTCATCAATGAAGTAATCGTCTTCCAGGTCAACAAGCATTTCATCTAAAGCTGAAACGGTTCCTTTCTTTGACTTTCCCCTTCTACCCTTTGGGGTGCTTGACGATGAACCTTTTGATTTCCTCTTTTTTCTCTTTGAGTTCAGATTACGCAAGACATAGCCGAGAAGAGAGACGCCAGAGTTGGATCTAGGGGTGTGCGGAGAATCTGAACTGTAGTCTGGAGATCCTGAATCTCTGTCGCTTTCTGTAACCGATGAGTCAGATAATACACGAGGGCTCTGATCGTGAACAGAGGTGTCGAGATAAAAGTTCTCTGCAACGTCATCTAACATGCTCAGAACTGTCCTCGTTCTTTCTGATCGAGAGATGACTGGAGCAGCAAGTAAGTCACCTGGATGATCCGACTTTTCTGCACAAGAAGAACAAGGAGAATTTTGAGGTTTGGTTTCTCTAGTTTTCCTTATCAGCGAAGGTTGTCTTTTACTGAGAAACTTTTGATGTTCGGAGACTGTCCCATCCGATGAACACTCGCGCATGGTGTGTTTCTGATCAGCTGCCCAACTGCGATCTCCATATGTCTTTTCGCTCTCCTCTGAACCTTGTGATTCGGAACTACTCTTCTTCGTTGGTGTAAGTCTGTTCAACGATTTCAGCTTTTGATGCTTTTGTCCATCATATTCTTCATGTTTGAATGACGAGTTATCGACCTGCCTTCGACAATTCTTTCCTACTATCACCTTATTGAGTACTTGTGTGTCTGCTGTGCGTAAAGCTTTAGTCTCTGTTTTTAAAGACTTTGTTTCAGAGATATGGTTAACCTCTTCGAGAACTTGCATGGACATTTCGTTCACTCTTACGTCTTGGTGTTTCTTCGTCATAGTTTCATGGTCAAGGATGGCAAGTGCATTCTGGTTATCTTCCGCTGCCAGCCGCGATTGAGTATCTTTATCTCTCGATCGCACACGGTGTGAATGATGTTTATTCCGACTCCTCGGAGACATCTTGACATTTATCATTATTTTGTTTTTCACGATATTATCACCCGCGTTCTTTTTATCAGACATAATTTGTTCCTCATCTTTTGCATCAATTGCATTAACAAAGGCTGTGTTTACCCAGATACCCCGATCTGAAATTCGGCAAGAAACGTCGGTCCTTCCTGTGCCTTGACTCTCCGATTCAACAGTCACCTTCCTGCTTCCCGAAGACACACTTCCATTTGAAAATGAGGAGCTCGGTCGTGATACCATGGATGAATTGCAATCCATACTGCACGAAGATTCTCCAGAATACGACCCGTGGGGATTGTCAGCACTCTTTTTTCTGGGTAGGACATGTCGCCGACCGGGAGAGTTTCGTGAAAACGTTGCAACCTGCCTCGACTGATGCGTTTCTGACATTTGCACAGTTTGACCTCTATCTGTGGCGGTCTCCTTTGTTGATTTCTCTTTTGAATGGTTTCCCAAACCTGCTCGTTTCTCCGACGTTTCATTGCCCGTTTCTCGATTGCATTCGAATTTGTGTGTCTTTGCATTGCTGTTTTCGTTTGGCCATTCTAATGACCCATTGACTTGTGAATGTACTTTTCTTTTCTCGGCCAATATGTCATCTTCCCTACCATCTGTTTGCTGAACGATTGCATCTTCCCTTCTGTCTGTTTGATGAACAGGAACAGCATGGTATGATTCAGATGTGCGATCAAAGAGATGACCATTCTCTTTACCTGAAGAAGACTCCTTGCGTTCATTCAACTTCGATTCTCCATCCAGATTTAAACAACTTGAGCTTTTCGACGAGTTGTTTTCAATCGTGCGAGCAGAATCACATGAGCTCTGACTGCTAACCAACGCTGGACTACAAGTCAGCTGACTGCTCCGTTTGGCTACCAGGGACCTCTCCTCCGTATAGGAACTGAAATCATCCATGATGGAATTAGCTAGGGTCTTGACGTGCATTAGTTGTTCTCGGATATAACTGAAGCCAGAGAAAGGAATATCAGAGAGACTAAGGACCGATGAACTGGTTGAACTGTATTCATCTTCTTGCATGTCGCTGGCATCCATACTTTCTTCCTCTTGCTCCTTAGATTGAGAAATGTTCGGTAATAATACATCACTCTCATTTTGTGTTACAGCGCCGTCATGTATGTCGATTTCATCTGTTCTAGTCTGCGTTGCTAAATCGACAATTATAGATTCATGTCCACTACTTTTCTCGCCCAACTTCTCTTGTTTACACGAATTCGGCCTCAGGTCTTTAAACACATTATCAGTATCAGTATTACTGATTGTACGCAATTCTAACCCAATTGTCGGTTTCGAGTCTTTGTCAATATTCTCATTACTGTTATTATAACTGTCAGAAGTGCTGACTGTGTGCGAATCTTCTGATTTAGGGGATGGAATTAGAGGTTTCTCATCGTCCACATTACTATGGTGAATATCAGCGATTATTCCTGCACAGGCGGCTGCTATTTCCCGCATTTGCTCTTCGTCTGGGGAACTAGCAGACTCGGAAACTACCTTGATTTCATCTTCACTTTCCAAGAGATAAGCATCTGGTATCTGAAGGGAACTGAAAAGCTCTTCATCTTCAGGTGAAATCGGCGGAACGGGAGGTGTTGAGTTAATTTCACCTTTGGTCCCAGCGACGGTAGCTTGAAAGATTTCTCTCATATCCATAAGCTGTTGTCTCATGAACGTGATGCTTGATAGCGGAATGTCACTCAGACTACAAGCAGATACAGCATCCTCGTCAAGTTGGCTATCCCTTTCAGAAGACATCGAATGAGTGGAAAGTGCGTTTGCAACGACTTCCTCTACAACAGGTGATGCTGACAGTCTAAAATGGTAATCTTCATCCGACTTTTGGTCAGGCAAGACTTCATACTCTTTTCCCAAAACTGCTGATGTTACTGCAGAAGTTACGATTCTCGAAGCATGGATGTGTAAGCCCATTTCATCTCTTTTCACCAATCCAGGCATCCCTTCATCTTGAGACCTATCGATGCCATCCTCGTCGTACTGTGTACTCTTATCATTTCTTTTCACATTCTTCACGTCAAAGGTTTCACGGATGTAAGTCCAGGCTGTCCAAGAAACACAAGTCACGACGCTCCACCACTGACTAATTGTTTCAACTGCAATCGTGGATACATGTGACGCCGTGGTGATAAATTCAATCAACTTGCATGGTTGGGTTTTCTTGTCCCTTTTGTCTACGTTTGCTATCACGCTCATTTCGAGTAAGGGGTGGTGACCCGACTCTGGCAGGCTGGATGGTCTCCTGATACTGGTGTCATCATCATCTTCTGCAAGGCATGGAAAGAAAGCTCGTTCCAGACAAAGAAAGAATGGCTCTTCCTCTTCGTCTCTAACGGTACATTTGCATGACTGTTGCGATTCATAATCGCCAAATCGTCTACCGTCCGCAGATTTGGAGTGAGCATACCTCCCGTGGCTGTAGCGCGGTGGCGAGATCCAATGCATATGAGTTGGCTTATCCCTGTCTTCCTCTGCAATTCCTGGAAACAGGGCTTTCTCCATCTGAAATGATAAATCTTGCTCCTCCGTCAACCTGGCGATGGCGACATTGACTAAAATCTCGGTGAAAGCTCTGGCTACTGCATTCAATGTGACAAAATGGGCTATATCATGTGCAATGTTAGCTAAAGTAAACTCATCGGTTTCCATCACAGATTCAATTTCTATATCCCCGCTTGATTTTAAAGATGGAGGCTCTGTCACAATCGTGGGCAGGTGTTCAGATTCTACAGACGAAACCGACGCGTCATTCGTGATTGAAATATCTTCAAAAACCATTTCATGCATGTTTATGTCGACCATAAACAAACGGTCTGCACATTCATCCGATGATGGTTTGCCATCATATGAAGCTAATGATTCACTGCTGCTTTTCATGGAAGTTGGTTGTTGTACTGTACTTGTTTCTTGTATTATTTCGTCTTCTGTTTCCAATGCAGCTATGGCGTTACTTTCCTCGTCTTCTACATCTGTGTTAATGTCATCACTTGATTCTTCGTTCTCGTCTTCTGTTAGCACTGGCAAGTATCCACTCTGCACGTTTTCTCTCAACGGCACTTCCTGTACTTTAATCGTATCTATTATGTTGTCTGGTAGTTCTTCTATTGGTTCTTCAAGACTCTCCTCTTCTGTAGGAGATTCGCTAGGTGGGATATGTTCATCTGAGGACGATGTCAGAGTGTCACTATCTTCGAAATCAGTCGGTGACGGGTCACTTCTGAGTAATGCCTCTGTGATGTTGATGTTACTTAGATGCACAGGGACATCATCTGCTAAGTCTGTAGTTGATTGTTCTTCTGTTCTGAGCACCGCAGGGAGATCTAGATGATCTATGCCGGACCTCTTGGAAGATGACGTGCCGCTCCCTGATGCTGTGCTTAAACTGGAAGACAATGTAGGAACATCAGAAGATGGCATCTCGACGTTCTCACTTAATTCTTCATTTTCACTAGAGGTGCTGACCATACTCGTGGAGGAAACACTCATTACAGTAGAAGGCAACACCACATCTTCTTCTGATGTTCCTGATATCATCTCTGAACTGAAAACACTGCTTTGTAACTCGCTTCTTAGCTCGCTGGAATGGGCGGTGTCAACATCTAGTTCCTCTGGCGACGTTAGAACACTCCCACTATTTTCAGTACTAGTAGATGAAGACAAACTTTGTAAGTCACTGGAAGTGATTTTTGAATCATTTGTTTCAACTATATATTTCTTCTCCGACATATCGTCAACACTCAACGTAATAGGTGAACTTCTGGTGGAAGGTTCAACCAATAATTCAGATGTATCAGTAATAACAGTGATACTGGAAACGATGTCCACCTTTGTTTCGTCGCTTCCGCTAACCTGACGAGGTGAACCACTACCAATAGTATCGGATGCATCAGTCTTGCTCCGACTGTCAGATTGAGGGGTTGAAACCTGGAGATCAGGTGATAATAGATCACTGAAATCATCTTGTGAGGTAGACACAGCCTTCTGCAGCATTTTCTTCACGTCATTCCCGGCGCCCGACTTCCATCTATAGTTTCCAAGCCCCATCTTAGGGCCGGGCATCTTACTGGTCATGCTCGGCTTTAGAGTTCCTGTTTGGCCGTCGGACGAGAAGTCGGACATGCCATCATCCGGCGGATCCATCCTGAGCATTTTCTTCACGTCATTCTCGGCGCCCGACTTCAATCTATAGTTTCCAAGCCCCATCTTAGGGCCGGGCATCTTACTGGTCATGCTCGGCTTTAGAGCTCCTGTTTGGCTGTCGGACGAGAAGTCGGACATGCCATCATCCGGCGGATCCATCCTGAGCATTTTCTTCACGTCATTCTCGGCGCCCGACTTCAATCTATAGTTTCCAAGCCCCATCTTAGGGCCGGGCATCTTACTGGTCATGCTCGGCTTTAGAGCTCCTGTTTGGCTGTCGGACGAGAAGTCGGACATGCCATCATCCGGCGGATCCATCCTGAGCATTTTCTTCACGTCATTCTCGGCGCCCGACTTCAATCTATAGTTTCCAAGCCCCATCTTAGGGCCGGGCATCTTACTGGTCATGCTCGGCTTTAGAGTTCCTGTTTGGCCGTCGGATGAGATGTCGGACATGCCATCATCCGGCGGATCCATCCTGAGTGATTTAAATGTCTTTGTCAGCTTTTTCTTGCGGTTGTCGATTTTCTTCACTTGCCTGTAATCAAAGACCGAACTTGATGTGGACTCTTCTATTGTATCATCTGACATAATCTCTGAAGAGAGAGTATCTTCTGATGAAAATTCTCTCTCCTCCTCTGGTGTTTTGGGACGCTTTCGCAGACTGGAACGATCCACCACCGACCTATCTGTTTCAGGGGAGATTGATAGGGGGAAGAATTGATTTTTTAAAGGCAAAAGACAGAGCAGACTCGGGAAAGAGATCTAATTCAGTCGCCAGTCCTTTCGTTGTAAAAAGTACAAAGTACAAACATGCATTTCTTTTATCCAACCACGTGAAAATTCGTTTTGGATTACCCGCTTCATGGTGGCTCTGGTCTTACTCATTCAATAAAGTGCTAATAAGGTTAGTGATTGGGGGGGGGGGTTGTGTTCGGGATGGGTCCTATCATATTACTTCTAGTCCCCCCCCCCTTTTTTTCGTTCTACCCTACCTCCCCCCCCCCCAAAGGGGTGGCGCTCCCAGTCGGACAGAAGAGGGGGGAGGGGCTCCCCACTATTTCAAGTGCCCTACACCTCTGATAATTGCCCTATTCAAATATGAGAGGTGCCCCTTTTCCCTATAAGCGCCCTCATTTAAAAAGAGCCCCTCCCCTTCTCACAAATGCTCCTTTTCATTCTCAAAAGTGCCCCCTTCACCTCAGATATTTGCCCCTTTTCAAATCTGAGAGATGCTCGTCTTTACTTTGACAAGTGCCCTTCCCCTCCTTTTGATAAGTGCTTTTTTCGTCTCTGATGAGTGCTCTTTTTCACCTCTAATAACTTCCCCTTTTATTTTGACACGTGTCCCCTTTCCATTTTTAATATTTACCCCGTTTCATCTTTGATAAGTGTCCCGTTTATTTTAACATGTGCCTTTTTTCTAGAGCCGCTTTCCCCTTCTTATAAAAAGATTCCTTTAACCTCCGATAAATGCCCCAATTTAAATGTGATCGGTGCCCCATTTCTTTCAACAAATGCACATTGCCCTCATTATAAGTGTCCCTTTGCACCTCTGGTAATTTCACTTTTAAGAATGCATGTACGTGCCCCATTTTTACTTCTGATAATACCCGTTAAACTTTGACACGTGCTCCTTTTTTCTTCTAATAAGTGTCCTATCCCTTTCGATAAGTGTTCCATTCAAAGTGACTAAGAGCAATTTCCCCCAAAACTAGCTCGCATTTATTAGATAATTATTTTAATTATCAAAGGTCTGTTCAGTCTTCCGTTATAAGAATGTGCTTACATCCCTATCCGGATTGGGTCCCCCTCCCCCCCCCCCCCCTCTTTATAAGATGTAATTATTCCCACTGCGACCTCGTAAATCTCCTTTTTTTCATAGCTTGCTTTGCTTGCTCGCAAATGAATATTCAGACAATCACACCCGACTGCAAAATATTTTGTATGATGTAAGAGAAAAAATATCGAAATCATCCATGATAATTTGATCACAATGTAGGGTATACCAATGTCTAAAAAAAATGTTTATGTTCGCCTTGAGATTTCCCTTTGCATGTGCTCTTTTTGTTGGTGCCTCCCCCCCCCCCCCTCCCCCCCCCCCCCCCCCCCCCCCACTTTGGAGGTCGCTCCGTTGCCCCTGCCCCCATGGCATTTGTTAGGGAAGCTCTGTTTTGCGAAGAGAAGTATAGTGCACCGTCGTTTGTCTAATTGATCCGACTGTTCCGACAGCGATGCAGGTAAGTGTTTTCATGAGTAGAGGTAAGTATGATTGCTTAATATCCTTCTGGTAACAATTCAGCTACGATTCAATGACTTTCTAATCAGGGGAGAAAATAAATACTTACCATAATCTTTAACAAATCGAGAAGGGATGAGTATTTTGTCGGAGTGGCCGCTATCCGATCCGAACATTGTCGCATACTCATGCTGAGGCAAAGGCAAATGTGAAGGGATGAATGGGGAAAATGATTGTGGTTAGTCATATGAGGCGAATAAAGCAATATACATGTAAACGTACATGAGGCGTTACATAGAACTGATTGTTGTTTTCTGGGGGGGGGGGGGGGGAGGTTCCCCAATTTCCTTTTAAGGGAATCGAGACTGGAAGACCATTTTTTTTTTAATCAGCAGAAGGGCCCGCGAAAGTTTGGCCCTCTGGATTCGCCTACCTTTATACGGTAAATCATCGTCATTAATATCAATAACATTTCCATTAGTCTTATCATCGTTTTTATCATCATTACTAATATCAAATGATTTTCATGTGATTTATCAAACCATATATTTTTTGGCCATTGTCCCGTTCGCATACCAAACAAATATACTCCCGAATCCTGACGTTCATTTTGACATATAACTTTCGATTGCAAAATAATCTGTGCTATTATAATCAAGCCTGTAAAGGCATATATGCCTACTAAATCAAAACAATGTATATGTCCCGTTTGTTTTCAATTCACCTTTGACACGACATCACTGACACATGGTGCGTCGAAGGTTTGCATCTTATGACGCTGTCCCGCGTCAGGCAAATGACGCGGCCTCGTGTGCAACAAGGATTAGTATACAAATAATACACATCAGTGAGCCCGAGCAAAATGATGTGTATTATTTGTTTTATAAGATTATGTTTCATTTTTTTAAATGATGCTTTATAACATGATTTTATTAATGACCGATCATTATCCAAATTACGCGTTAGGCAAAATAAATGCCTGGTCACGTGTACGCTTTCAACCAATCGTTTGATTAGGATCCACGTCATCATTTTATAAAGGAACTTACCTTGGAGAGGAATGCCGCCACATCACTATCATCACTGGTGACAAGTGGACTACTTGTCGAAGAAGATGCTATAATTTCCTCCTTCTGGAGGTGCTTGATCGCATCTCTTTCCCGAGCTTGCTCCGTGTTCTCCTCCTCTAAAAATTCATTTTTTTCCACGATCAATTGTTCCTCTTGCTCTTCACCTTTCTCGGCTTCCCTTTCCTCTTCTGTCTCTATAATTGTATGCAGCATCGGGGATCCGGTTGGGCTTCTGATCAAGTCGGGAATCGACAAATCTTGCTTTGGGGACAACAGTTCCTCATCGGATGGAAGTAGATGTTCTTCAGCCTTTTAAGTAAGAAGAAAGAAACGTCATGAGAGAAAAAAAGGGTAAAAAAGAATAAAATCCCTGTCAAAATTAAAGTGATTAAATTCTTAGGTCCGTACATGAGCAGGAGAGACCACATACTCATCATCATCATCATCATCTGGTACAGGAAGAAGGCGTTGGCCTGTAATAAAAAAAACTCAAACTCTCTCTATCTCCTGATGTAACATTTGATTCAAACAAAGTTCTTAGCTTGGGAAATTTGAGTCAGCGATCATCTTCTTAAGGTTTGGGACCTACGCTTTCATATAACTTGCTAAAAATTCCGAAATTGTAATGGTAATTCCGACAAATAGATTTTTGCTTCATAAAAGTGCCTCTATTTAATACCAAGCGGACAATAAATTTTCTCAATATGAGACTTTCTTCTTATTCATGATAAATCGCAAATCTTTATTAAACAGGGCGCGTTCGTGGAGTCTGAATTTGATGGGGATAGTAAATCCGTCTTATATGGCGACATTTTGCTTTAAAAATGTATAATTTGAGTGGCAAAATGCTTTAAATATACTGAAAAAACGTGTACTGTTCCTTGCACACGAGGCGTCATTTCGATTGCCTCATCACACGCGCTACTCACAACTTGCAAGACAGTCGTTTAAACTTAAAGCAATGTGTTTTTTCTATTTCACTTTTTTGTACCATATTACGCTCAGGACATGTTCCTGCTTCTTCCTGCGTTTCTTCCTCCGATAATTTCGAAGATCAGTGTTATTAAAAGCACCGAAAGCAGGTCATAGTGTTACATGAGTTGTGATCGAGGCAAATGGCTTGAACTTTGACATACAATGAGTTGTCAAGCAATCAATCATTAATCATTCCAGGGGCCTGTTTCATAAAACTTGTTATCAATAACAAGTTACAAGCTACTGTTATAAGCTACTGCCAACATGGCATCATATTGGCTGAGAGTAAATTTGTCATAGAAATTTAGTAATTGTTATAAATAACAAGTTTTATGAAACGGGCACCAGTCTCAGCCACAGTCCTACTCCTACATTACCAAAATGACGCCTTGTACATGTATGCAATTAATGCCCTTATAGTTATACAACTTAAACTCATGACATATACCTCGACCTTGGGCGACTTCCCATGCGGGCGTCTTCGGCACGGAGGCTCCCGTCTATCATCGAGTCGCCAAGCTGCGTGATCACCCGACGACGATGAGGACGACGACTTCCCCGTCGAGTCTTCATCTAGTGCTCGAATAATACCCATCAGCACCGAGGCGAGGACGGGGTGCTTTAGGTTTTTGTCGTGAGGTTTAGCCACGTCCATGACGGAGCACTGTCTATAATGAAAATGTATAAATATGTCTACGATGGATAATTATCATTTGCTGTTTGTTTAGGATCTATTTATTTAATTTCCTATCTAGGCCTGGATCTATTTATTTATCTATGCATGCATGCATGTTCACAATTTTACAATTAATTGGAGTTAACATCACATGAAAAAGAATATAACAAATCATTTTCATTTTACAATCCATTTGAATTGACTTCACGTGAAAAAAATATATAACAATGTTATATTAAAGACAAGTTGCAACTAATAATAGGTCTAGACAGTTTAAAGAATGAACACACAAAGGAGATGAAACATTAGCAAATAGAGCTTGAATAGTTACAACACATTTTAAATATATAATATATGACAATTACAATTCCTAAAGGGTTGTAGTGAACTATTTAAACTATTTACAAAGAACAAGAAGAAAATAAAAATAAAAACAGAAGTAGAGTAAAGTACCCGGTTTTCGGCCACTTAAGACAAAATCCTATTTATTGGACTCTTTACTTCCTATTTATTATCATTTCTTGTTCAAATCATGAAGCAAATATTATTATTATTTAAACAAAAAAAGAATCCCCAAAAAAAATCACGAATTGCCATGACAATATTCATTTCAATTTTCACTGTTTTGGAG